AGAGAATATAGTGCCTTTCTTGGTTGAGTACCATCAGGGATTCGAACCCCAACTCAGAGTCAGGCACCTTATTGCAACTCAGTCACGGCGGCTTCCACAAAACTGAAGTCTGACAATTGCTAGTGTAGACCGCGTACTTTATGTACAAAAGTAAATAGACACGGCTCCCACCAAGTGTAATCCCAAACGTACGTTACATTTGACCACATTCTAAATAGCACTGTGTCTATGTCACATCTGATTGTCGATGGTATACAATCCCCATATGCGATCGTGATTTAAGGTCTCAGCTCTGTCACCTGATCTTTCATGCATCCGAAATCCGTAAAGTGCTTGCACTGCGGGGATATTTTATAATCAAACTGTACAACTGGCATAAAGTAACTGTGCATTATTTGATGTTATGCCATTTTTTTAATGCAAAAAGATAATAGCGTGATTTGTTGTGTTTTTCTTAATCACTGCTTATCTGATGACAGGATAATGTCTAAATATGTATGACCTGACACGAGGCATCGTGACACGCCCTTGAAGAGATGTGATGTCGAAAGTCAGTTCACAAATTCAGTATCGTGTGTTTCCACCATTGGCGTTGATGCAGGCTTAACAACGACGACGCATAGACGACACTAAGTGATTGAAGAAAGCTTGGGGAATGTGTCTGAACCAACGCTTGTCCCAATTCAATGTCAATCAGTCAATGACTGATTCTGAGCTTGACGTAGACGTCACTCCATTTCATCCCAACGCACGCGTCAGCATACCGCTCACCTCGCCGTCTGTACACCCTTGCCCTGGCAGCTGTAAGATGAAGTCTCGACCCGTCAGTGAACAAAACACCACCCCAATCTTGTTTCCCGTACCGTAGCCTGCACCAGGCCAGACGTGCCTGTCGGTGACGTTGGAGCAAAATTAGACGCATTGCAGGCCGTCTGGGCCGGATGTTGTGCTCCCTCAGACGGTTCCGTACAGTCCTGGACCGGATTGGACGTAAGTGTTTACCCCAAAAGTACTGCAATCTGTACTTAACTGAGAAAGTGTAATCCTAAATGTAACATATGTTACATTTGTTACATTTGACCACTTTCTATATTGCATTGTGTATTCACATACGTTACCATTAATGGTTAAATCAGTATTTTCAGACTCACATATTAGTGTATGTGTATGCAACTAATGATTCGTTGTAGGAGCTCAATACTTTTATTCATCTCAGTAATTACCTAAATCCTGTCTTTTTCAGAGTGATTTATCTACATCGGACGCAAACACTCGCGGTTTCCTGTAGTCACGTAGATGACTGCATGGCTGATAATACCTATACACAGGTCATAAACAACTCCGGTCATAAGGAATATCCCGCGCGTACAGTAACGACAAATATTGAAAGTGCTCTGTAAAATAGCGCTCTGTTTGTGATAAATGTCGGTGAGCTTTGATCACACGGTGACAACCTGGTGTCTTGTGACTACCAGCAGCCTCAGAAAGCTACAGAGTCGTGCAAAAAGTATTCGGACGCTTGACGTAATTTCCATAGACTTACATGTTAATTTAGTGTAGCATAATTTTTTTTCATGAATTTAATTTGTTTAAGATCCAAGTCAAATTTTGCACATTTGTGAGGAATCATCTTACCTACAATCACATAATTTCTGTTTAATTTTCCGTTGCTTATTTATCGAATGGCAACAATTTAATCAACACATGTACAGTGCCGTGACCTCCTTTAACATGGCGGCCTATGGGATTGTGCATTGTGGAAATGTACGTAAGTTGATAAATGTGATGTCATTAGTTAAATAGTGGTCGGAAAATTTTACTGAAATTATGTGCGCAGAGCAAAGATGATTTCAAATTTGCATGTCAGATTTTACAAAGATCCACCCCAAACTCACTTCATGAAATTTATTTATGCTACACTGAAATAACATGTAAGTCTATGGAAATTACGTCAAGTGTCCGAATACTTTTTGCACGGGTCTGCACTTGAGAAGCGTACGTACATTATCAACACTAACTGGAAGTTGAACACAGTATTTGAAGGACGTTTGACCAAGGTCAGTGCTAAATATAACTAAGGTTCGATCTCTGGTATATGTACTGTAGTGACACATGTCCTGGAGTGGTACATGTTCTGTAGTGGTACATGATCTGTATTGGTACATGTTCTGTAGTGGTACGTGATCTGTAGAGGTACATGTTCTGTAGTGGTACATGTTCTGGAGTGGTACATGGTCTGTAGTGGTACATGTTCTGTAGTGGTACATGTTCTGGAGTGGTACATGTTATGTAGTGGCACATGTTCTGTAGTGGTACATGTTCTGTAGTGGTACATGTTCTGTAGTGGTACATGTTCTGTAGTGGTACATATTCTGTAGTGGCACATGTCCCTTAGTGGTACATGTTCTGTAGTGGTACATGTTCTGTAGTGACACATGTTCTGTAGTGGTACATGTCTTGTAGTGGTACATGTCCTGGAGTGGTACATGTTCTGGAGTGGTACATGTTCTGGAGTGGTACATGTATTGTAGTGACACATGAACTGTAGTTGTACATGTCTTGTAGTGGTACATGTCCTGGAGTGGTACATGTTCTGTAGTGGTACATGTTCTGGAGTGGTACATGTCCTGTAGTGGTACATATTCTGTAGTGGCACATGTTCTGTAGTGACACATGTACTGTAGTGGTACGTGTCTTGTAGTGGTACATGTCCTGGAGTGGTACATGTTCTGTAGTGGTACATGTTCTAGAGTGGTACATGTCCTGGAGTGGTAATATTCTGTAGTGGCACATGTCCCTTAGTGGTACATGTTCTGTAGTGGTACATGTACTGTAGTGACACATGTTCTGTAGTGGTACATTTCTTGTAGTGGTACATGTCCTGGAGTGGTACATTTTCTGTAGTGGTACATGTTCTGGAGTGGTACATGTCCTGGAGTGGTACATGTTCTGTAGTGGTACATGTACTGTAGTGGCACATTCCCTTAGTGGTACATGTTCTGTAGTGGTACATGTACTGTAGTGACACATGTTCTGTAGTGGTACGTGTCTTGTAGTGGTACATGTCCTGGAGTGGTACATGTTCTGGAGTGGTACATGTACTGTTGTGGCACATTCCTGTAGTGGTACATGTACTGTTGTGGCACATTCCTGAAGTGGTACATGTTCTGTAGTGGTACATGTAATGTTGTGGCACATTCCTGTAGTGGTACATGTACTATAGCGGTACATGTTCTGTAGTGGTACTGTATGTTCTGTAGTGGTACATGTTCTGTAGTGGTACATGAACTGTAGTGACACATGAACTGTAGTGGTACATGTCTTGTAGTGGTACATGTCCTGGAGTGGACCATGTTCTGTAGTGGTACATGTCCTGGAGTGGTACGTGTCCTGGAGTGAATTTTATATTCTGTAGTGGCACATGCACTTAGTGTACATGTTAGTGGTACATGTACTGTAGTGACACATGTTCTGTAGTGGTGCATGTCTTGTAGTGGTACATGTCCTGGATCGGTACATGTTCTGTAGGGTACATGTACTGTAGTGACACATGTTCTGTAGTGGTACATGTCTTGTAGTGGTACATGTCCTGGAGAGGTACATGTTCTCCAGTGGTACATGGACTGTAGTGACACATGTCTTGTAGTGGTACATGTCCTGTAGTGGTACATGTTCTGTAGTGGTACATGTCCTAGAGTGGTACATATGTCCTGTAGTAATATTCTGTAGTTGCACATGTCCCTTAGTGGTACATGTTCTGTAGTGGTACATGTACTGTAGTGACACATGTTCTGTAGTGGTACATGTCTTGTAGTGGTACATGCCCTGGAGTGGTACATGTACTATAGCTGTACATGTTCTGTAGTGGTACATGTCCTGTAGTGGTACATGTTCTGTAGTGGTACATGTTCTCTAGTGGCACATGTACTGTAGTGGTACATGTCCTGTAGTGGTACATGTCCTGTGAGTGGTACATGTTCTGTAGTGGTACATGTCCTGGAGTGGTACATATTCTGTAGTGGCACATGTCCCTTAGTGGTACATGTTCTGTAGTGGTGCATGTACTGTAGTGACACATGTTCTATAGTGGTACATGTCTTGTAGTGGTACATGTCCTATAGTGGTACATGTTCTGTAGTGGTACATGTACTGGAGTGGTACATGTTCTGTAGTGGTACATGTACTGTTGTGGCACATTCCTGTAGTGGTACATGTTCTGTATTGGTTCATGTACTGTTGTGGCACATTCCTGTACTGGTACATGTACTATAGCGGTACATGTTCTGTAGCGGTAAATGTTCTGTAGTGGCACATTCCTGTAGCGGTACATGTTCTGTAGTGTTACATATCCTGTAGCGGTACATGTTCTGTAGTGGAACATGTCCTGGCGTGGTACATGTACTGTAGTGACACATGTTCTGTAGTGGCACATTCCTGTAGTGGTACATGTACTGTTGTGGCACATTCCTGTAGTGGTACATGTACTGTTGTGGCACATTCCTGTAGTGGTACATGTACTGTACACCTCTATAAAACTGCTTCAATGTCATCTGATGTAAAACAGTGATTGTGGTTATTTATGGTTAAACAGATTGGTATGGAACCAAACGCCTTAGTGAATGTACAGTGACATGATCGCAAATGTCAAAACAAATATGTCTCTGCTCTGCCGTCTCTTGAGGATTAGCTCAGTGGTGAATGAGTTGACTCGTCACGCCGATGACCCTGGTTTGATTTCCCTTGTGGGTACAGTGTGTGAAGCCGTGATACTGCTGGAATATTGGTTTATTGGAATATTCACTCAATCACCAGAAAGTACCAGCGCCTTGAGCAAGCACTAGTTGCCTGGATATGTGCGCTATATAAATATCATATAATAATAATATTGCTAATGCCTTACTTATACATTCACCATCGCATGCATCGCGTCATTAGGTAAAAAGGTCGGCGATCTTAGGACATTTGGAAACGTGGACACAGGTCGTAATAAGTGCAACAAATAATGCTCCAATTCAAGTTTAAATGCTTATATTCTTGTAAAATAACCCTCCAAAGATTATTATTTAATCGTAACTTGTTCCATATTTGAACTTCAAGGCTAGGTCGTGTCTTGGAAATCAACATCTTTCATCGTGCGATCACAGGCATCGCTGAACGAATTCGTTCAAGTTCACAACAGCGGTTCCTCTGCATCAGTTTGTCAGAAATACTTCTGCTAACAGCAATACAATTCATATTAAAAACCTCTCATTGGGACTGAACAAGGCGAACTTTCATTCTGATGACCTACCTCCAGATTGTCTTTCGCAATGTGATAGTCTAGTAAAACTAGTGAATTGAGTTCCAGTATTTTTCTTCCGTAACCCTCCCGAGATGAGTAATCCTGATAGCTCATGACCTTGCCCTAACCCACCATTCCAAACGTGCCCCTGATTGAACCAGCAAATGACGAAGAACGGATCATCGATCCCCTCAGCTCCGATATAAGCTGTAGCCTCACCAATGGAACATCCTTCACTGTCTCCCTTATCCAGTGTTTAGCATAGTGTGTGAAGTTGGCACCATTCTCGTCCACCACAGCCAGATCTCCTCCATGGGCCAACAGAAGCTGGAACACATCCATGTGTCCCCCGTGCGCTGCGAGCAGCAGAGCCGTGCATCCCCGTCTACCTCTGCCATTCACGTCCATCGACGTCACCGCCAGGAGTCGCTTAACAATGTCCACGTGACCCTCTGCTGCCGCCAGAATCAAACAGCTATTGTTATTGTTGTCAGTCAAAGACACATCTGCTCCTGCTTTAAACAAAATATCAAATATTTCTGTCTGACCATAAAAGGTTGCAAACATTACTGGCGTCCAGCCCTTCCCACCCCGTCCGTTGATCTCAAACGTGTTCATTTGGAGGAGTTCTTGAACGACCGCCGCATTTCCCCCTATACAAGCTAGCATCAAGCAGTTGTCGTGGTCTGCATCCTTGACGGTAACATCTGCCCCGGCGTCCACCAACATGTGGAATACCTCCTGCTGGCCTGATGCTGCAGCAGCCAGCAGAGGAGTCCAGCCGTCCTTCCCTCGACCCTCCACATCAAACATATTCATGGCCAGCAGATGCTGCACTATGAGGGCATTCCCGCCGATACAAGCCAGGATGAGACAGTTGCTGCCATAAACATCAACAATACGGAGATCTGCATCTCTGTTTAGCATTACTTTGAATACGTCATAATGTCCTTCGTTGGCAGCAGCCATGACGGCTGACTTCCCATCCTGACCTTGTCTGTTGGTGTCAAACACGTTGTCTATAGAAAGGAGATGCTGAATCATCTTAACTTGACCATACACGCTTGCCAGCATAAGACAGTTGTTACCGTCGTCGTCGGTGAGTGTCAAGTCTGCACCTTCAGAAACAAGGATTTGTAAGACATCCACATGACCTTTCAACGCAGCCATCATCACTGCCGTCCACCCGTGTTGCCCTCTGTGGTTGACGTCCTGTGACTTCATTGCTATCAGCGTGTCCACGATGTGACAGTTCCCTGTCTCACAGGCCTTTATCAAACAAGTGTCACCCATGCTTGTCAAGGCAACGTTAGCTCCTGCAGCAACAAACAGATCAAACACCTTCTGGTGGTTTTGACAAACCGCAGCAAACACAGGAGTCGATTGGTTTTCCTGTTGTCTGTTGATGTTGAAAGCCTTCAGTGAAATGAGATGTCGAACTACCTTCTCACTGCCGCCAATCGCTGCAAGTAATAAACAGTCGTTGCCGAAATCATCCAACAGCTTTACGTCAGAGTGGACAGAGACTAATGCATCATATTCTTGACACTTCCCCAGCAAAGCAGCAACCATGACTGCAGTGCGTCCATATTGTCCTCTTCTGTTGATGTCAAACATCTCCAAGTCCAGCAACATGAGCAACATGGAGACGTGGCCAGCTACCACTGCCGCTGTCAGACAGTCCAGCAACGTATCAGTCCTGATAGTCACATCCGCTCCCATGGAAACCAAGTAGTCCACCAGCTCAAGGTGGTTGTTCAGAACTGCTGTTACCAAGGCAGTTCTGCCGTGGGCCCCAACAACGTTTATATCCAGTGGTCTTTTACCCAGTATGTCCCTGACAATAGTCACATTTCCCTTCTCAACCGCTAAATGCAAGCAGTTGTTCCCATCAGCATCAGCCCCGGATATATCAGCGTCGGCAGCTACCAAGACGTCGTATACTTTTTTACGATTGTTCATTGCAGCTAAATGAACGGCTGTTCGACCAAGCTTCCCCCTCGCGTTGACGTCATGGATTCCCCACGACAGCAGATTGCTCACTATGTATTCAGACCCTCCTTCCACAGCGAGATGAACACAGTTGCTGCCATCCTCGTCAGACAAGGACAGATCGGCACCTTCCGACATTAACAGTTGATATATTGTGTGTTGACCTCCCAGCGCTGCCACCATCACTGCAGTTCGCTGTTTGTGCACACGTCTGTTGATGTCGTACAGCTCGGTGTCCAGGCAGTCCCTGACCAAGGGTGTGTTACCCGCCATGCTGGCCCAGAACAGCAGGTCCTCAGTTTGATCCAGTACAAAGTCCTCGGGAAGACCCGACGGTTCACAGGACAGCTGGTCGTACAGAATCTTCATTGCCGAATGCGCTGTCTCCATTTTGTCTCCGTTTACCTGAATATCATTAATGGGGAATAGTGTTAGCTCAAATGTGCTCCGTGAGTAAATATTACTTCTAAATTACTATTATACATTTCCTGATGTTCAAGTCATTTGCGAACTTACATAATGTGCTCGATTTTACATAATGCCTCTTTATGTTTCCAATGTGAGAAATAGATGCCATGGCGCTGTTTGGGCTAAGTTGACCTTGTCAAAAGTCTGCCTAACTAAAATGTGCCTGTTCTATTACATGGCATCATGGCTTGGTTTTTGGTGTCTTGTTGATCCAGGGTATTTCTACGGATTGTGCATCATGGTTACATCGTTATGTGTACTCTTACAAGAATATATCACAGCTGATTCGGCCTTAACTTGTCATTTCCAACGGATAAATCACGTTTGACATCAAGATAAGTTGTTGAAGGCAGCGCAAAATCAAACTCACTCACTCACTCACTCACTCAACCAGAGCCCTGTGACCGTCAAGCCAAGTTTATCGTGTTATTCCCAAGGTTCCAGACAATGGGTCATTCTATGATCCTGCATGTATATATAGGTTCTGTCCCCACACCTGAATCGTATCGAAAATATCCTAATCATTTCCACCATCAAATGTTAAACATAAAGGTTAGTTTTCTTTAGCGTTTACGGTAGAATTGAGTGCTTACCTTGTGTCCAGCTTTTCGGGCACTGGACGTCATCTACGTCTTTCACCTGTACGTGAAGTATGTGCTTACCTTGTGTCCAGCTTCTCGGGCACTGGACGTCATCTACGTCTTTCACCTGTACGTGAAGTATGTGCTTACCTTGTGTCCAGCTTCTCGGGCACTGGACGTCATCTACGTGTTTCACCTGTACGTGAAGTATGTGCTTACCTTGTGTCCAGCTTCTCGGGCACTAGACGTCATCCACGTGTTTAACCTGGACGTGAAGTATGTGCTTACCTTGTGTCCAGCTTCTCGGGCACTAGACGTCATCTACGTCTTTCACCTGTACGTGAAGTATGTGCTTACCTTGTGTCCAGCTTCTCGGGCACTAGACGTCATCTACGTCTTTCACCTGTACGTGAAGTATGTGCTTACCTTGTGTCCAGCTTCTCGGGCACTAGACGTCATCTACGTCTTTCACCTGTACGTGAAGTATGTGCTTACTTTGTGTCCAGCTCCTCGGGCACTAGACGTCATCTACGTGTTTCTCCTGTGGGTGGACCATATCGTTTATGATTATACATCAGCGGTCGTTGTATCAGTGTATGGTATGTCATGATATACTTTATCTCTACCCAGTGAGTCATAGTGGTGATTAATGTGTAGAATGTTATCTGCTTGACACACTAGAGGTTGCATCTTGAACAATACTGCTACAACCGTCCCAAGATTTGTCAGCAACTCTTGTTGTTAAATATTTGTTAACCATTTTCAACGTAAGGAGGGGAAAAGTGGCGTTAACACTTTCATAAATATATGATGTCGCCCAACCTTCAAATAAATCAAACTATTGTTCACTGACTCATACACACTGTGACATGCCCAATAAATGACGTTATAGCTATTTTCTGTCTCGTCTGTGATAGTGAAGTTAATTAGGTTTCTTTGTCTAATGAATCATAACACTGAAAGCTACTAAACATGTAAAGGTTATTAAGTTCGCCTTTGCAAATTTCGTGGACAACATACATTTGAGCTACATATGTATGCACGGCGCATATACCAGCTCGCCAGTGGGCATGGCGGGTGGCAACAGGTGCTGAGATAGGTAATGAACTGCCGGGTGTCTGTGTGAATGGCGTGTCACCCTACGCCAACAGCGTGGGGCGTTGCTCTTAATATCAATCACCAGATTGTTTGGTCCAGACTCAACTATTTACAGGCCGCCTATACATGGTTCTAATATTGCTGAGTGTGGTGTCAACCAAGCTGATACTGCGTTAATACCAGGGCCGCGGTTCACAAAGCGACCTCAGTGCTACGACTATCGTAACTCCCATACTTTAACATAGAGCTTCGACAGTCGTAGCGCTAAGATAGCTTTGTGAAACAGGGCCCATATGTCTCAGCGCGGGTATCATGACGCTAGGGACATGTTGCGGGGCGGTGTGTGATTTCGGGTACGCTCATAGCTTGTCAGGAAGGACAAACACACCAACGCACTGACTTCATTTCCCATTTTAAATTCACAAATACTCTGACGCACATGTACACGCGAGACTTTGTCTTTCCGATCACTTACAAATTAGATGGATCTCGTTAAGTCGATTAACATAAAGATAAAGCAGTATGATATGAACCGCAAACTCCAGGGAATAATCAAGACTTTGTGCAGAAACACATTCAGTTGGGAGAAAAAAGTAAAACAGTCATGAAAGTCTTATGAATGGATAATCAGTGATGACACCGGTTGTTCGCGAAAGTATAAACACACATATAAAGCAGATGTGTTTCTTATTACAACTAAACATCATCGTTTCAAACTGTAAATGGCAAACATAAGCACACCAGCAGCGGTATCTACATGTCTCATCCAAGGGTATCTCACATGCATGCTTCATCATCGTTTCGTCACACACCAGCATGACATCGAGATGGCATCCACGAACACTGTTCCACCTGACATCTTCTACCTGCATCACTCATCTGTTCCCAGCGTCGAGCTGTAACGTCGACATGTAACACACATACTAAATACTGTGCTCAGAAACACACACATGCACACGCACGCACGCACACACACACACAGCAGAGGGTAACGTTCTTGGCTTCCATCAGAGCAGCCATGAAGCTCCCATTTCCAGTAGCGCATCAACCATGACTGTTGCCGGTACATTATTGATTAAATAAATCCGTAGACATCAGGAACTTTTCAATAGTTGAGTTTCCGCCAGTGTGAGCGAGCATCAGGCAGTTGTTACCGTCGTCGTCCTCGAGGCACAGGTCTGCTCCCGCCTTCACCAGAACGTCAAATACATCGTCCCTTCCTTCACTAGCAGCAGCCATCACTGCCGTCATGCCCCCGAACCCACGGGCGTTGATATCCAGACAATTAAGTGACAGAATATGCTGCACCATCGCCGCCTCGCCACTGACACTGCACAGTATGAGGCAGTTGTTGCCATATGCATCTACCAGGGATATATCAGCACCTTCAGACATGAGGATCTGGAAGACATCCACGTAACCATACATTGCAGCCATCATGGTCGGTGTCCAGCCCTGCTTGTCGCGTGTGTTCAGATCAAACACTTTCATGGCCAGGAGCGTCTTGATTATGTGGATGTTTCCAGTTTTAACGGAATTCATTACACAGTCACTGTTGTCTGGAACAGCGCCCCCTGCTGACAGAAGGAGGTCGAACACGTCCTCGTGGCCCTCGTTAATAGCCGCCAATAGTGGATTTATTCCTTTCAAGTTTCGTTTGTTTATGTCAAATATGGTCATAGACATCAGATGTTGGACAATGCCTGCAGACCCTCCCAGTGCCGCCAGCAGCAGGAAATCATTCCCATCTTCATCCACCTGGGAGATATCTCCCCCCTCCAACACCAGGTAATCAAATTCTGGTTGCCTCCCGTGCAAAGCTGCTACCATCACTGGAGATCTGCCCAGCTGATCTTTACGACTGATGTCAAAAGAGGTCAGTTTCACAAGCTTCCTAAGTAAGGTCATATGTCCTAGAACTATTGCTGCGTACAAGCAGTCATTACCGTTATCTGTCCGGATGTAGGGATTGGCGCCAGCAGCAAATAAAACGTCAAAGATATCTCCTTGTCTATTCACAACCGCGACCATGGTGGCTGTGTGGCCATGGTGACCACGTGCATTGATGTCCAGTACATTTCTGGACAATATATCCTCAACAACAGGCATACTCCCTCCTTCAACAGCCAGATGAAGACAGTTGTTACCCTCCTCGTCAGTCAAGGTCAGGTCTGCACCCTCGGACAGAAGCAGTTGGTATATCGTCTGCTGCCCACCTGCTGCAGCCGCCATTAGTGCTGTTCTCTGTTTATGGACACGTCTGTTGATGTTGTGTACTTCCTGAGATAGGCACTCGCGTACAATGGAGGTATCCCCCGCCATGACTGCCCAGAAGAGAAAGTCATCCTGTTTATTCAAGTCTTTCAGTGTGAAGTGGAATGGTTTTGACTGAAGAACGTCCAGGACGTGTTTCCGGTGATGCCCATCCATGACGTCGTACCTGGCCAGAGAACAGACCTGTTATACATCGTGTGAATACTACGTCATGAACCAATTTATGTATTTTCAAACTGGTCTTGGTTTTGTTGTATATATATGTTATATCACTCCGTGAACTGCCCTCTATACAAACACCTTTCCAACAATGTGACGGACCACCAGAAACAGGAGTCACATCAGGAATCGAACCCGGGCCTCTGATATAACGAACGGGCGCATACCCTGTCACCTCATATATTCAACATATACTTATGGTTGATGATGGCCGACGTAAAGCGCTTTTAAACCCAATATCATCCCTTGCCAACGAGTAGTTGTTTGGCAATCGTGACTACAACTCATTTTCAGCATTTACAAATGTCTCCAAACAAAAAGGTCGTTTTTAGAACATGGAGGTGTTCACGGCGGGTCCGGCAAGGTGTTTGTGACCCCAAACAAATACATCCCAGTCTGTCCTGTTTTAAAATGCTTTTTCTTTTCCTGAAATTAAGGACGGACTCTTTTTTTTACAAGCGAGTGTGGGACGGAACATTATTTTCCAGAATTATTCCCTGTACAGAACCACATGACTACATTCATCCTCCCTATGGCCTGGATGTACCCCAGCAGTCGACGACGTCCAACATGTACAACTCGGTAGACAAACTACACATGGTCATATGCAATGCATGACCTGCGCGCAGAGACCAGCCTGAGGTCGGCCAGTAGATGGGTGTGAGGTCGCTACACAGTCACAGTGCACACATATACCTCCACGATAAGGGTTGGAAATGACCAACACTGGATGATGAGTAGGGAGGCAAGTCTGGTACATACCTGAGTAGGAAGGCGGTAAATGTGCAGTTGGTGTAGTTCCTCACATATCAGGACATTGAGGTCACCATGACCCAGATTTATGACATGTTATGCGATATCAGTCGTTATCTCACACCTGCGACGCGTCATGTGGACGGGCGTACAGGGATAGGAATTAAACAACTAGAGCTACTTCACAAACAACCCTGCCTCGCTACGAGTGAATATCCCCACCTAATACAGGACATACAAGCGTTACACAATACATTTACACCGACATTTTAGTCTGATCAGCATTTGTGAGTCTTGTGACACAAGTCGCATACCCCCTCGATTATCCAGTCTATTATATTTCCGATCTATTTCAGTGAATATTTGATGTAGATATAATTCACTGGATAATCGTGGGCAAATTGTTGGGTACGTCTTCTCCAACCATGCGCAATAAGTGAGATAAGTTTTCCACCGCTTATATTCACATACCGACTTGGACATTGCTGAGTAAGAGCAGTACAGTGTATGACGTCTTTCACCTTATCATTCAAAGAACAGGTTCGTGTATATTTGGTACGGTAAAAAGGGGAACTCGTTTTGACCTGTGAAAATCGAGTTATCCCGGGTACGAGGCAACCAACGAAGTAAAGTTTCGAAAACATCCCATTATTATAGTGCAGTACATGAATCTGGTCATCCTTGGGTCATGCATCGCTCTACATATGGTAGTAGTCCCGGCCAAACTGGGTCGTTCCTCGGGGTGTCTGTCACTGACCCTACTGGGGTTGAACCTCGGACAATCTTGTCATGCCTCTTATAATATATTCACTAACTTGATGTCAGTCCGTCTTTCTCATTTCGAACACATAGGCAGTCACGATGGAACATCTCAGTAACTCGCTGTGGATGTGTATACAGTACCAGCATGGATGTCAGTTATGTTTGTTAGGTAGCATCACAGACGTCGGACAGTGATGGACGTATAAATGAAGTTAAATACAGCCAGCAGTCGCAGGGACTGGAAGACAAACTGGAAACCGTCACATCCAAGTGTATCTTACACAAAGGACATTTACTCACCGTGCAGGTTGTCGCCAAGTCTCCAGTCAAAAAAATCTAAATTACGCTAAGGCACATACTGTAGCTCTGTGCGTTGTCATATTTACATGCCTACAACATTTGAACATGCGGTGCGACTGAAGTCTACCAACAATTTTCAGAACCCAAATTTGTCCAATGTTCCCTGGGAATAGTATTGTTAGTGTTGCAGTCCGACTGATGGTGAAGTAGCTGTTAAGTCGTGTGGTCACTCTCTCTCACACTCAGTGCAGTGACTTAGGAACACTTCCTCTCATATACAACCTGGAATGTTGTCAGACACATATAGGTACAGAAAACACACAGAAATCTCTCAGGTTGGAGCACTTTATTAGATCCGAATAAATACATCTCGACTAGCAATGTTTCACAGATGTGGTTCAATGTTCGTATTACATTAAGAACAAACTTACAACAACTATTACACGAGAGACCTCGGGGACTGTACATTCGTTTCGCAATCATTGTACCTATTGTTGGCTAATACTGCCTAGAAACCCCAGCAGCTGAAGTGATGACGTCAAACCTGCTAGAGCACCCTTCATGAAGCTGAGGTACAGGAAATCCCCTTCACCCCGAGCAGGGTGCCCTACCTTTGGTTGTTAGTGGCTTACAGCCCAAGATTTAAACTGATGTAAATACTGTTGTTGTGAGCATGATATGGTACACATACTTGAAATATTACTTGTATTTAAGATGAACTTGTTAATATGTATAACTTTGGTCTCGTCGCTTTTTTTTTTGGCTTTTTTTTGGGGGAGAAAATGCGGATCCGACGTTTATTATCCCCCGCAACGCGTTTTCTTGTTTATAAACTCACTCACTCACAATTACTATTTACTTCATCATAATGCAAGATCAAATATTTACAAATTGGAAGACAATTTGTCACAAAGCAGTAATCACCATTAAGAACAAACATGCAGAAATCGGAGGATTATTCGGAATTTGTCGTGGGTATGTAGGTGGTGTATGTGAACATCCCTAGTGAGGGGCCGTAGTTGACGATGAAGCACGGGGAAGGTGGTGTCTAGGTGGTGTATGTGAACATCCCCTAGTGAGGGGCCGTAGTAGACGATGAAGCACGGGGAAGGTGGTGTCTAGGTGGTGTATGTGAACATCCCTAGTGAGGGGCCGTAGTAGACGATGAAGCACGGGGAAGGTGGTGTCTAGGTGGTGTATGTGAACATCCCTAGTGAGGGGCCGTAGTAGACGATGAACGGGAAGGTGGTGTCTAGGTGGTGTATGTGAACATCCCTAGTGAGGGGCCGTAGTAGACGATGAAGCAAGGGGAAGGTGGTGTCTAGGTGGTGTATGTGAACATCCCTAGTGAGGGGCCGTAGTAGACGATGAAGCACGGGGAAGGTGGTGTCTAGGTGGTGTATGTGAACATCCCTAGTGAGGGGCCGTAGTAGACGATGAAGCACGGGGAAGGTGGTGTCTAGGTGGTGTATGTGAACATCCCTAGTGAGGTGGTGTCTAGGTGGTGTATGTGAACATCCCTAGTGAGGGGCCGTAGTAGACGATGAAGTAGTGAACATCCCTAGTGAGGGGCCGTGATGATGAGGTGGTGTACAGGTGGTGTATTTGAACACGGGGGTGGGTCAGGTAGTGGGGGGAACGGTGAAGCACGGGGAAGGTGGTGTCTAGGTGGTGTATGTGAACATCCCTAGTGAGGGGCCGTAGGTGGTGTATGTGAACATCCCTAGTGAGGGGGCCGTAGTGGACGATGAAGCACGGGGAAGGTGGTGTCTAGGTGGTGTATGTGAACATCCCTGTGTGGGAGGCAGTGAGTGAAGCACGGGAAGGTGGTGTCTAGGTGGTGTATGTGAACATCCCTAGTGAGGGGCCGTAGGATGGCGGGGAAGGTGGTGTCTAGGTGGTGTATGTGTGTGCACGGGGGGGTCTAGAGTGAGGATGAAGCATGAAGCACGGGGAAGGTGGTGTCTAGGTGGTGTATGTGAACACCCCTAGTGAGGGGCCGTAGTAGACGATGAAGCACGGGGAAGGTGGTGTCTAGGTGGTGTATGTGAACATCCCTAGTGAGGGGCCGTAGTAGACGATGAAGCACGGGGAAGGTGGTGTCTAGGTGGTGTATGTGAACACCCCTAGTGAGGGGCCGTAGTAGACGATGAAGCACGGGGAAGGTGGTGTCTAGGTGGTGTATGTGAACACCCCCTAGTGAGGGGCCGGGGAAGGTGGTGTCTAGGTGGTGTAGTGAAGACGATGAAGCACGGGGAAGGTGGTGTCTAGGTGGTGTATGTGAACATCCCTAGTGAGGGGCCGTAGTAGACGATGAAGCACGGGGAAGGTGGTGTCTAGGTGGTGTATGTGAACATCCCTAGTGAGGGGCCGTAGTGGACGATGAAGCACGGGGAAGGTGGTGTCTAGGTGGTGTGAACATGTGAACACCCCGATGAAGCACGGTGAGGGGTCTAGGTGGTGTAGTGAACAGAGTGTAGGGGACGGGGAAGGTGGTGTCTAGGTGTGGTGTATGTGAACACCCCTGGTGAGGGGGTATGTGTAGTGAGGGGACGAGTGAAGGGGGAAGGTGGTGTCTAGGTGGTGTATGTGAACACCCCTAGTGAGGGGCCGTAGTGGACGATGAAGCACGGGGAAGGTGGTGTCTAGGTGGTGTATGTGAACATCCCTAGTGAGGGGCCGTAGTGGACGATGAAGCACGTAGTAGGGGAAGGTGGTGTCTAGGTGGTGTATGTGAACACCCCCTGTGAGGGGCCGTAGTGGACGATGAAGCACGGAAGTATGCAGGCGGTGTCAAAGATTATTAGCTCCTTTCCGTCTGGTGAGGTGTGAGAATCATATCCTGGCTTAAGAGCTGCGCCATTCATGAGGGCCGTGCAGTGGAACACCTGAAGATAGGAAGCAAATCCTCATAGATCTTTCATAAGCAGACAATCAGGTGGGTATTATTGCCACTACTTTTGGCAATCTACCAAACACGATACTGTACCCAAAATGCCGTCCTTTGTACTGCAATAACCCCCAAAATACTGCAACTGCATATTCCAGCGTAAAATATATGATGAAATGTGATGAAAACCTTCGTGAAGACGAAGAAAACATAGTCCACGTAGTATAGAAAACAAGCATAGTATATGGGAAAAGCGTCTAAGTCTAAATCGACAGATGAACGGAACATGGACGAAACACTGACAACATTAATTGTGTCAAGGTGAGCAAACCAAACACATGATTGTTTAAAACACATAGTATCAGTTTGGATAAATATTATGTTGATCAAGATTGATCGTGAAAACTCCAGGACATTGATAAGTAAGATGACAGAGTCACGACCCACCTCTCCAAGGATGACTTGAGACAGAAGGATTTTCTGAGCTCCAGCGATGTAGCCCATGGAATACTCGGGATATTCGCTGAAGTACACTCCGCTCCCGTAATAGCCGGTGTCAGTCTTTGCAACAAACCCAGGGTCACCTACGCGGGTGGAGTGAGATGTTAGTGTTTGGTGTATTATAGACTATTGAAACACAACAATAACACGTATCAATTAACCTTGTCAACTCCAGAAATGTCATTCTGTAACAGTATTAACTTCCGGTCCTGTTCTGGGGATTTGCCATCAGGACACAAGTGTACATGAATAGATGGAAGGATGGATGGATGGATGGATAGATGGATGGAGAAGCATGAAAATGATTTACAACCTATAAACTAAATAATGGCATTATTTATTGTCCAAAAGAGACATAAATAACATTGCCAATATATTATTCACGAACAGAATTTTTATCAGATATAGTACTTTGTCCTACATTTGAAACCGGTGATTCCAGAGGTATAAATGACAACTGGGAAGAGCCATTAATAGCAGATTTCGAAACAGAAGTGGCAAGTGTATATATACTCCAGATTCAATCACCAAGACTCCTCTCCAAGACTCCACTCCATGTTTTACAGTATGCCTCCGGATACAGATAAAGCGATATTCAGTCTCAGTAGTGAGTTACTGGCGTGAGATAGTCAAGAGATATTCAGAATCGGTAGTGCAATACTGACCTGGTTTCTTAAAGCCACCTTCACATATCTTCTCAATGTATGCCACGTTTGTCCCGTGGAAAGCTAACACCGGCTCCGCCTTGTCTGGGCCTCGTTTTGCTTTCATGGCCACCTGAGCCGCCCTGTAACATGGATTTGTATCAGATTTAATGAAACGGAAGCGGAAGAGATTCACAATACATGACTAAACCTGACAACCTGTGTCGTTAATGCGAGTGATAGGTTAGACCAAAGTGTCATCACTGATTTGTAGTAATCAATTCACAGATTTCCCACAGCTGTTGATCACTTTACGATAGACAGAATGTTATTCTCTTGTACCGACAGTTTTTATTTCACCTAAATTTCTTGATGAGAGCCGGGTTGACCACGTAGTCCACCTTCGTCACGCAGTACCTGGAAGAAATGGACATATATAACACATCAGATATAATCTCCTGCCAACCTTCCGATAATTATTTGATTCTGCATACAACCTCCATCTTCTCCGGCTCTTTATACATGTTGTTACGCATATTTACGTGGTGGCGCGTGGTCCTGTGCTTAAAGCTCAGGTCACAAATCGGTGAAGTTAAGCAGTGTCGAGCTCGGAGAGTCCTTGGATGGGTGACCGTGTTTGGCAGCTTATACGTCATTTCAAAGAGTGCAACTGAGTATTGTGTACTCACGTTGACCCCGAGGTGCCCAGAAGTCTGTAGAACTGAGACTCCGCTGTCCGGAAGTGAAGATCCTCGGCGTTACCTTTGAAGGCACGTTTTGGTGTCAAGGGGAAGTATACTGTCTTGGTTCCAGCCAGGGCCTCCTTCTCCCCCTTCACCATCTTGGACAGACCACCACGTATTGCCTGCAACCATACATGGTATACGTACAGTACTATCACAGACCACCACGTATTGCCTGCAACCATACATGGTATAGGTACAGTACTATCACAGACCACCACGTATTGCCTGCAACCATACATGGTATACGTACAGTACTATCACAGACCACCACGTATTGCCTGCAACCATACATGGTATACGTACAGTACTATCACAGACCCCTACGTATTGCCTGCAACCATACATGGTATACGTACAGTACTATCACAGACCCCTACGTATTGCCTGCAACCATACATGGTATACGTTTACCCTACGTATTGCCTGCAACCATACATGGTATACGTACAGGACTATCACAGATACCCCTACGTATTGCCTGCAACCATACATGGTATACGTACAGTACTATCACATACCCCTACGTATTGCCTGCAACCATACATGGTATACGTACAGGACTATCACAGACCCCTACGTATTGCCTGCAACCATACATGGTATACGTACAATACTATCACAGACCACTACGTATTGCCTGCAACCAATCATAATGTGTGTCCTCATCAATCACGTATATCTTAGACAAAATAGACATAATTGTTACCACATTCTTTTCTACCGACCCGTGAAGGTCCGGGTTAGAATGAACCTTAAGTAACCCATGCTTGTCGTAAGAGGCGACTAACGGTATCGGGTGGTCAGGCTTGCTGGCTTGGTTGACACATGTCATTGGTTCCCAATTGCGCAAATCGATGCTCATGCTGTTGATCACTGGATTGCCTGGTCCAGACTCGATTATTTACAGACTGCCGCCATATAGCTGGAATATTGCTGAGTGCGGCGTAAAACTAAACTCACTCACTCACTCTTTACTACCAAAGGATAGCATGTCGTTTGATATTATCAAAGCCTGATTCTGAGACAAATCCTCAATTAGTAAGTAAACCATGTTTCAATAACACAATTCCGTTTTGTTAAAATATATCTTATATATGGAAAATTGGGCAACAGCTTAGCTTAGTGGTTAAAATGTTCGCTCTTCATACCCTAGGCCCGAGTTCGATTCCCAACGTGGCTTGCACAAAGTGTACTTAAAAATCACTCATTCACATGGACCAGTGCCAGCATAGTATTGATTTACAGTTATGGAAAAGCCTAATGAATTGGTTGTGGCCCTGTGTGTCTGTGTTTGGAGACGCTGAAGTCTCAGTCGCTTGTACAAGCATATCAGATATATAGACACTGCCGCGGTCATTGCACTCAGCAGCACCGGTAGCATCTACCAGCTATCCATACTTCACTTAACGACTTACTTTCTCAGTTCTTTCAATCTTTATCGGTTTTCCACCTGTCTTGGGCAATTCTGTCATCTTCTGAAAATCAACAGAATAGGCTCTTCCTCTGGCGTCTTTTATTTCCAGTTTCTTTTCCTTAGCTTTATATGCCTTCTCTAAACAGCAGTTGAGGCCCATAGTGAAAGGCCTCGGTTTGCCGTCCACCACATACATCCACTCCACCAGATTCGCCACCAACTTCGCCTCCTCCTTCATGTGGGCGTTCGTAGCCTCGTTCTGAAATAATTCCAAGATCTTCTCATGGACCTGCCCCACGTTCCTGACCCTGCCTGTGATCTCTAGTGCAGACCCCCTGCGGACGATGACGACATCGTGCTCCCCGGCGACACCCTCCAACCGGGACATCTGCAACAACAGAAGTAAATTATCAACCACTTCGAATTCAGGCTACTCCGGAGGTCGGATAAAACCAATAGTAAAGGCCTTCTCTTTGCTGTGAATACCCGGTGAAGGATATAGCCCACGATATACAACCCTTATAGTGTGGATAAGACAGACAGTTGATATAGCCCACGATATACAACCCTTATAGTGTGGATAAGACAGACAGTTGATATAACCCACGATATACAACCCTTATAGTGTGGATAAGACAGACAGTTGATATAACCCACAATATGCAACCCTTATAGTGTGGATAAGACAGAAAGTTGATATAACCCACCATATACAACCCCCTTATAGTGTGGATAAGACAGACAGTTGATATAACCCACGATATACAACCCTTATATAGTGAATAAGACAGACAGTTGATATAGCCCACGATATACAACCCTTATAGTGTGGATAAGATATAACCCACGATATACAACCCCTTATAGTGTGGATAAGACAGAAAGTTGATATAACCCACGATATACAACCCTTATAGTGTGGATAAGACAGACAGTTGATATAACCCACCCCGATATACAACCCTTATAGTGTGGATAAGACAGACAGTTGATATAACCCACGATATACAAACCCTTATAGTGTGGATAAGACAGACAGTTGATATAACCCACCATATACAACCCTTATAGTGTGGATAAGACAGACAGTTGATATAACCCAGAAAGTTGATATAACGATATACAACCCTTATAGTGTGGATAAGACAGACAGTTGATATAACCCACCATATACAACCCCTTATAGTGTGATTAAGACCAGTTGATATAGCCCAATATATACAACCCTTATGTGGATAAGACAGAAAGTTGATATACAAAAAGTTGATATAACCCACCATATACAACACCCACGATATACAACCCTTATAGTGTGGATAAGACAGACAGTTGATATAACCCACGATATACAACCCTTATAGTGTGGATAAGACAGACAGTTGATATAACCCACGATATACAACCCTTATAGTGTGGATAAGACAGACAGTTGATATAACCCACGATATACAACCCTTATAGTGTGGATAAGACAGACAGTTGATATAACCCACGATATACAACCCTTATAGTGTGGATAAGACAGACAGTTGATATAACCCACGATATACAACCCTTATAGTGTGGATAAGACAGACAGTTGATATAACCCACGATATACAACCCTTATAGTGTGGATAAGACAGACAGTTGATATAACCCACGATATACAACAACCCTTATAGTGTGGATAAGACAGACAGTTGATATAGCCCACGATATACAACCCTTATAGTGTGGATAAGACAGACAGTTGATATAACCCACGATATACAACCCTTATAGTGTGGATAAGACAGACAGTTGATATAACCCACCTTATAGTGTGGATATACAACCCTTATAGTGTGGATAAGACAGACAGTTGATATAACCCACAATATACAACCCTTATAGTGTGGATAAGACAGACAGTTGATATAACCCACGATATACAACCCTTATAGTGTGGATAAGACAGACAGTTGATATAACCCACCATATACAACCCTTATAGTGTGGATAAGACAGACAGTTGATATAACCCACGATATACAACCCTTATAGTGTGGATAAGACAGACAGTTGATATAACCCACGATATACAACCTTTATAGTGTGGATAAGACAGACAGTTGATATAACCCACGATATACAACCCTTATAGTGTGGATAAGACAGACAGTTGATATAGCCCACGATATACAACCCTTATAGTGTGGATAAGACAGACAGTTGATATAACCCACAATATACAACCCTTATAGTGTGGATAAGACAGACAGTTGATATAACCCACGATATACAACCCTTATAGTGTGGATAAGACAGACAGTTGATATAGCCCACGATATACAACCCTTATAGTGTGGATAAGACAGACAGTTGATATAACCCACGATATACAACCCTTATAGTGTGGATAAGACAGACAGTTGATATATTCACTCCTGATTCCAGGACATCGCATGTCAAGCTGGAGAACTTGACTATCTTAGAAACTGAACTAAAAATTCAATGAAAACTGAACAAGGGAAGCAATATCTTGTATGAGACGCATGGTGCTTAAGACAAGACTGTATGTGCAATCTTTTTCCGAATTAAACAGATGTACTTCTAAACCATCTTTGAAATAATATTTGCTCCAGTCAGCAGTTTACCTCTTCAGTATCCAACTTCTCAATTTTGTTTGCCCATTTGTCACCGATAGTTTTGTGTTGAAACTCGTCTGCACACAGTTCCTTAAGCCGATCTCTAGCTGCGGTGATGTTCGTCCAGGAGTCAGAGTAGATACGTAAAACAACCTTGTCGTCTGCTCTCACTCTGTGAGAGGCACCATGGTGGCGCGTGCCTGGTCTGTTGTCTGCACTATCTGCAATAAGACAAGACGTGAAGACTTTACTGTAAATCAACATCTGTTGTGTTCAAGGCCAACATGGCAAGTAGTGGTTCTGTTACATGGCTGAGACTATCTATGATGCAAGATGTATATACGGTGAGTTGATATTTTACCTCTCTCCTTGTGCCCGTGCCGTCTGCTTGGCGCGTCTCTCCCCGACTGCTTCCCGGCAAACACAGCCCTGTATGTGTTGACCATGCTCGACTGGAAGATGACTACCCGGATACTCTGGAGGGCCGGCTGACTGTGTGTGTCTGCGAACTTCTTCACGGCATACAGCAGCGACGACGCCATCTTGAACGGGGCTATCTTCTGACCTCCTGTTACAGAACCAAAATATATACCCAGCTGCATCACACCTCTGTAGGATGGACAAGAGACAACCATTCAGTCGCTCGAGTTTGTACTGTAACATTTAGAAGTTCAAAGGTTCTGCGTGTTGATGCCACTTTAAATAATATTTCAGTTTATGTCACAGTGGGTTTACCTGTACCAAGAGCCGGCATGGACAGTGACGTCATTCCCTCTCCCTCAGCCTTCTTCAGACACTCCAGAAGGGTGGAGCCCCACCCCCATGCCGACGTTTGGACCTTCAAGTGAAGGACATTGTTACAGTGCAGCTTGTACCCCTGGGTCAGGACAAGGCCTGTCGAGGATAGCTCGTCCGCTGTAAATAAAATCCTGGTTACAGTTTCGTTGGTTGAAACAAGTTCATATCAGCTGCTGTTTTCAGGTAAACTTGCCAGTGGGTTAGGAAGTGAGCACTTCCCCAAACAAAACAGGAAACCAACTGCTTCCCAAATTCCAAGAGTTTGTAGCCTCTGAACAAGCAGCAGGAGAGTTAGGAAGACATGGGAGGGAGTTATTATAACTGTTTCCTCAATTCCACTATTGAAGCTATACTTAGCAGAAAGAGTATCAAATTCTCTATAATGAAACATGAATATTTTCTGTTGGTATTTCTAAACATACTGCAACCATATTATTTTGTATTAAGTTTTGTATAAAGAAGCAAGATAGTTCTTCTTTCACGCATTTCGAAGTGGCTTTTCTCTTTTCTCATCAACGACGGGCGGTTCTTATGAATGACGGATAATACGCTTGAGACCAGGTGAACTTCAGTATCTATGACGTTAACTGTCTTGTTTGTCTTACTTTTGGAGGTGCACTCGTCCTGAAGTTGGGACCCTGCTGCGGACAACAGAGCCTTGGAAACAGCGCCTGCGACAGAACAACGCATCAGAGGTATTAATACCAAAAGATTTAGATACTTCATCGATACGAAATGTGACAAAAAACACTGGCAACATACGAAACTGTGTAATAACACAGTCAACGTTACAACCTAGGAACTGTATAATATCACACTGTCAACGTTACAACGTGGGATCTGTATAATATCACACTGTCAACGTTACAACGTGGGATCTGTATAATATCACACTGTCAACGTTACAACCTAGGAACTGTATAATATCACACTGTCAACGTTACAACGTAGGAACTGTATAATATCACACTGTCAACGTTACAACGAAGGATCTGTATAATATCACACTGTCAACGTTACAACGTAGGAACTGTATAATATCACACTGTCAACGTTACAACCTAGGAACTGTATAATATCACACTGTCAACGTTACAACGTATAATATCACACTGTCAAGCGTTACAACCTAGGATCTGTATAATATCACACTGTCAACGTTACAACCTAGGAACTGTATAATATCACACTGTCAACGTTACAACGTGGGAACTGTATAATATCACACTGTCAACGTTACAACCTAGGAACTGTATAATATCACACTGTCAACGTTACAACCTAGGAACTGTATAATATCACACTGTCAACGTTACAACCTAGGAACTGTATAATATCACACTGTCAGCGTTCAACGTATAATATCTACAACCTAGGAACTGTATAATATCACACTGTCAACGTTACAAGCATGAAGGAACTGTATAATATCACACTGTCAACGTTACAACCTAGGAACTGTATAATATCACGCTGTCAACGTTACAACCTAGGAACTGTATAATATCACACTGTCAACGTTACAACGTAGGAACTGTATAATATCACACTGTCAACGTTACAACGTGGGATCTGTATAATATCACACTGTCAACGTTACAACCTAGGAACTGTATAATATCACACTGTCAACGTTACAACCTAGGAACTGTATAATATCACACTGTCAACGTTACAACGAAGGAACTGTATAATATCACGCTGTCAACGTTACAACCTAGGAACTGTATAATATCACACTGTCAACGTTACAACCTAGGAACTGTATAATATCACACTGTCAACGTTACAACGTAGGAACTGTATAATATCACACTGTCAACGTTACAACGTGGGATCTGTATAATATCACACTGTCAACGTTACAACGTAGGAACTGTATAATATCACACTGTCAACGTTACAACGTGGGATCTGTATAATATCACACTGTCAACGTTACAACGTAGGAACTGTATAATATCACACTGTCAACGTTACAACGTAGGAACTGTATAATATCACACTGTCAACGTTACAACGTGGGATCTGTATAATATCACACTGTCAACGTTACAACGTGGGATCTGTATAATATCACACTGTCAACGTTACAACACCGTCAACGGAACTGTATAATGTCACACTGTCAACGTTATAAGCGCGGGATCTGTATAATATCACACTGTCAACGTTACAACCTAGGAACTGTATAATATCACACTGTCAACGTTACAACGTGGGAACTGTATAATATCACACTGTCAACGTTACAACGTAGGATCTGTATAATATCACACTGTCAACGTTACAACGTGGGATCTGTATAATATCACACTGTCAACGTTACGCTACAACCTAGGAACTGTATAATATCACACTGTCAACGTTACAACGTGGGATCTGTATAATATCACACTGTCAACGTTACAACGTAGGATCTGTATAATATCACACTGTCAACGTTACAACGTGTAGGATCTGTATAATATCACACTGTCAACGTTACAACGTAGGGATCTGTATAATATCACACTGTCAACGTTACAACGTAGGAACTGTATAATATCACACTGTCAACGTTACAACGTGGGATCTGTATAATATCACACTGTCAACGTTACAACGTAGGATCTGTATAATATCACACTGTCAACGTTACAACGTAGGAACTGTATAATATCACACTGTCAACGTTACAACGTAGGAACTGTATAATATCACACTGTCAACGTTACAACGTAGGAACTGTATAATATCATACTGTCAGAGTTACAACGTAGGAACTGTATAATATCACGCTGTCAACGTTACAATGTAGGAACTGTATAATATCACGCTGTCAACGTTACAACGTAGGAACTGTATAATATCACACTGGCAGCGTTACAACGTAGGAACTGTGTAATATCACGCTGTCAACATTACAACGTAGGAACTGTGTAATATCACGCTGTCAACGTTACAACGTAGGAACTGTGTAATATCACACTGTCAGCGTGGAAACCGTTTGTAATATAACGCTGGCAACAATGGAACTGTGCAATATATCACTGCAAACGAGGAACACCTGCGTAAGATAACATAGTCAATGTGGAAACATTCTGTAATGGAAAACAGTTAACGTGGGAACCCTGTGTGGAGTAATGAGTAACATATTTAATGGGCTTTTCAGTCCTACCATCTCTAGTCAGTTAAGATGATGCCCTGAAACCCGTTGCCTGACTCCAGCAACGACTCGTGGACAATACAGTACATCTGAATCACAATTTAATCCATGAGTTTATTGAACAGGTGGAGGTGGACTGCCACACATTATTGGTACTCACTGGTACTTGGGATGACTAACACCTGCCACACATTATTGGTACTCACTGGTACTTGGGATGACTAACACATGCCACACATTATTGGTACTCACTGGTACTCGGGATGACTAACACATGCCACACATTATTGGTACTCACTGGTACTTGGGATGACTAACACATGCCACACATTATTGGTACTCACTGGTACTTGGGAGGACTAACACATGCCACACATTATTGGTTCTCACTGGTACTTGGGATGACTAACACATGCCACACATTATTGGTACTCACTGGTACTTGGGATGACTAACACACAGCACTAATGTGTAAACAATGAAATGTTTATCACTGACCATGCTTGAGGTCAAATGATTCCCCGCTTGAACTGACGATGCAGTCTGTCTTCTCCTTGGTCAGATCTCCTTGGACGATCTTGATCTCCACAGAACCAAATGTGAAGGTATCTGTTATCAGAAAGGTAGAGGCTACTCACTTTTGCACTAGTGTATGCTACATATGTTATATACTGAGTCAAAAAAGAAACTTCACATTCTTTCTTCAGGGCACTATAAAAGAACAAGAGATGGTAAGATGGTTAAATTGATATTATTTCATTGCTGAGATCTGTGTGATGTACTCGATACACTGACAGTGCCACAATCAGTTCCATTAGGCTACACCGCCGTTCCAAAACATGGGTATACAGAATGTCAAGTCACAAGAATAAAAATGCGAAATTTCTCAGTTCAATATCGTGTATGGCCGCCCCGCGCATTCACCACTGCCAAACACCGTCTCCTCATCGACTGCCTAATGCTCGTGAACACGTGGTTGGGCGATCAGAAGTGGTGCCAGTTTGTTGTAGACGACCTCGCAAGTCATACACAGTACGACGGCTGCATCCCATTGCTCTTGCAACGTCAATAACTGATCTTTCCGGTTGCAACATGCCAACGGCACGTTCACGTTGCACATTTAACAATCATGGCATTTAAAGTACCGTTAGAACTGTGGTTTAAAAGAGTTTTTTCAATTCTTGAGGCCAATGCTTCTTCTTTAAGGGGAGATAAATAAACGTCGAAAGTACGTTTCTCAGCCGAGTAAAGACCCTATGACCTGGGTTCCAGTAATATCAGCATTGACAGTTTTAATGTGCTGACACATCCCGCACACCCGATCGGAAATACTGACTCGCTATAACTTGGGATAATTTCTAGTCATACTTGTTAATCAAACTTGACACAACAGGACTTGTATTTGACATTATTCACCTTGGTGGTATATATACACCTGGAACTTAATTAAGCACCCCGTATTTTCTGGAAGATGAGAAACAAAACTTGCTGTAACTCTCTCACTATTCCAAAGATAGTGGAACCTTAGCCATTGTGAAACATACGATCTATTGGCAAATGAACAACAAGACAATGATTCCAATTCGTGTTGTTTTAATAGCGTAACCAATGTGATTTGGTCACTATTGATTTTTGATGAAAATAGTATGGTCGTAGCATTGTCAATGGCTGACTATTACAAGAAATGATGCACAAGGAATGTCACATGTTAACATCTGATGGGTCTGGCATCAGAATCGGGTGTATCCCCCACGTGCTTGGATGACAGCTTGAATCCTTCTCCTCATGCTACTGGTAAACCTTCTGATACGATCAAGTGTCAATTGCCGCCATTCTTCATGCAAAGCAGCTTCCAGCTGTGCAAGATTCTGGAGAGGGGGTTCTCTCAACCTCACACGGCGTCCAAGAAAGTCCCAGATGTGCTCCAAAGGATTCAAATCGGGGCTCATTGCTGGCCAAGGTAATGTCATGATAGCCTCATTCTGGAGATGTGCGGTCACAGCACGTGAACGATGCGGCCTGGCGTTGTCGTCCATGAATATCGGGTGAGTAGCCAACGGGTGGTTGTCAAAGTGAGGCACGACAACTGGATGGAGAATATCCCTCATGTACTGCTGACCATTACGATTTCCTCGGACAGTCACCATTTGAAGTTTACAGTCGTGTGAAAGACAACCCCAGATCATAACCGAACCTCCACCATAAGGAACATTAGGGTGGATATTCCTGGGCACGTAAGCAGTGTTTTTATGCCTCCACACTCTCATTCGACCATCTGTATCGTGGAGGAGGAACCTGCTCTCATCTGACCAGTGGACCCTCCTCCATGTCCTCAGGTTCCACTGCCGACAGGCCATACACCACTCCAGACGTCGTCTCTTATGGAGATCAGACAGAGCAGGACGTTTGATGACTCTTCTGGACCTCATACCAAGTGCCCTGAGGCGATTTTTGACGGTTCTGGTGGATAATTGTCTGTAGGGTAACCACAGGCGCCTTACCAGACGTGCCAGGCTGCGATCATCACCGGCCGTTGTCTTCCTGGGTTGTCCTGGCCTCTCTCACATCTGTCATCTGATGTTTTCGGACAAGTCGGCTGATGACCGAGTGACTTTAGCCCAGTTGTCGTCCAATAGCTTTGAAGGACATGCCTGTTGCATGCATGCCGACAATTTGCCACCTTAGTGCTTCTTAACTTCTTCTTCTCGCCATTTCAGTATTCATTGATGGAGACAGTTACAAATTTGTCTGCTTTTATACCCATAAATTGCTTGTCAGAGAAACTGAATTTTGGGACAAGTGTGGGTTGTATGCTTCACGTGAACAAGGGATGCGTTGTGGCGAGTGCAAAGGAACTGAAACACCTTTTTAGACTACTAGAGATGTGTTGTAATACAGAGATATCATTCATGTTTAACGATGGTTAACAGTTGCTCTACTATCATGGAATATATCAGGGGGTGCTTAATTAAGTTCCAGGTGTATATATGAAATACCTTGATTATCTCCCTTGGAGTCTTGATGACGTGTCCCGGCATTCCCCCTGTGGTCCGTGGGATTACAATTGTGGACTGATTTTCTGCTTTCTGCCTCAAATGCCTAAAATGTAACAAGGAAAACGGATCTTTGCTTGCAGGTCTTATTTAAAGTGATATTTACCTTCTATAGTTCCACAGCAATAGAAAGGCACATTCCAGTCATGTCAAGGAGACCCGTGAAGATCCGGGGTAGAATAGGTCTTCAGCAACCCATGTGCTTGCCATAACAAGGCGACTATCTTGTCGTAAGAGGCGACTAACGGGATCGGGTGGTCAGTTTCGCTGACTTGGTTGACAAATGTCATCGGTTCCCAATTGCGCAGATCGATGCTCATGCTGTTGATCACTGGATTGTCTGGTCCAGACTCGATTATTTACAGACCGCCGCCATATAGCTGGAATATTGCTGAGTGCGGCGTAAAACTAAACTCACTCACTCACTCACTCATGTCAAGGATGTCGCGTATAATAAAAGGTCTATCGGTAAACAATGTGTTACTATTTAAATACTGGAGCCATCAGCCAGAAAAACAATTACCAACGCTTTAGTGACGTTGTCCAAAGTAAGACAAGCGTTATCAAGGAAATCCACAAATGAATACGTTCGTATCACTACACTTGAGCTATCGTTAGCACACATGGTGTGTTTATTTTGCCATGACTCCAAATGACGGGTTCATGAAATGTCTCCCTGATGGCAAGTCTTACCGCCCTCCACAGCCTCACTGACCTTCTTGACGGGAATGTCTTTGTGGTGTACAATGAAGTAGATTGTCTGGACTGATGTTCCAGGATGCTCCTCCAGGAACTTGGAAGCAACCTTAAACATGAGACTGGCCGAGATGTCTGCAGGGAATCCCAACTTTCCCGTTCCAAGTGCTGGGAAGGCCACAGAGAGGTACCCATGGACATCGGCTTTTTCCAAACACCGCTTCACCAGATTCTGCAAGACCTGTGAATAGGGGATTAACAGAGAAAAATCGATCTCGAATATCGGCTGAAAAAGATTCTACTGGGCTTTTTCAGACATATAGTGGTTATGGTTATAGGAATGGATCGATTACAATAAGAAAGGTGCCAGAACACAGTTCAGTAGCAAACATCTGATGTACTGTTTCAAAGTTGGTGTTAATATACCCTATTTACCAAGTCTGGTGCATCTTTTCCGTTGTTCCACGCCTGGAGGATCCCGTGGTATATCTCCTTACATCGGAGATTCCCGCCTGTTGTCACTGCAACATGTCCAGTTTTCAGGCCCGAGGGATACTTCTCCTTACAGGCAGTCTGTATGGCCTTACCTCCCGCCTCCAGCAGGCATCTGGATACAGCACCCACCGACATGTTGAGATCCTTCCCAGTTGGGTTAACTAGGACGTCAGCCTGGAACCAAGTATACTAGCATCAGACGATAACGAAAATATCCCCATTCATCAGCGGGTTTAAAGCAGTATAAAACATTATTCCAGATATATCACGACTTGTCAGCATGATGTGGGAGCAAAGATGGAGCAGGTCTGATGTTTCCATCTTTGTTTAAAGTCACAAGCATGGCATGGAACTGATAAATCAATAACCCCTTCGTGGGTGTATTGGCAGGAAACGTTGGGTGAATGGATTAAATATTCATGCATTAATCTGTATCTACATCAGTTAAAGGAACAATAAAAATACAAGAAGACTTGGTCACTGACCTTTTGCCTAGACAATTCTCCAACAATTACTTGTATTCTTTCAGGGTGGTCTTCTGCATCTGAAGCGGAAAAAACATATCAATATGTTGAAAACAACAGCGCTTCTGGAAAGGAAGCCACGTTGTCTGTGTTTTAGTGCTTTGTGGCCCAATTGACAGGAGCAAAGTGTAAATAACAATGCATATCTCCACACATCAAACCAAGAAACAGGTACTAGTATTGTAATTATCAGGTATTTGGTATTGTCAAGTGTTCATTGGTCTCTTTTGATTATTGAAATTTCTATTGTTTGCAAACTTTTCAAGAACTAATTTCACTACAAACAGTTTTACAACTAGCACATGTAAGACACTGAAGGGTTAGGAGGGTACGCCTTGCTTTCTATGACTACATGAACCAATATAATGATAGAGAATATCATTCCCATTGTTATCATTCCTCTAACTGTGAACGGTATACCTGATAGGTCGTCCGAGTCGCTACAAAACATGCTCTGTGAGTCCTCTTCATCTCCCTCCGACCCTTCGTCAGTCTCCTTTTGGCCCTCCTCCATCTCCACGTTCTTCTCCCCTTCTTCCTCCCCCCACTCTTCCTCTTCTTTCTTCGTACTCTCCACACGTTTTGATCTTGTTCCATGAAATATACTGTCGGACGTTTTGATAAATTGTCGGACAACACTGGACTTAATGTCACAGAGGATGATTTCTCGAAGGTCAGTGTGTTCCTTGTCCAAATTCTTGTGAAGAGTCTCTAGAATCACCTTTACTGCTTCTGCAAGGGGGTACCCGAGTCCAGTGCTGATTGCAGGCAGTGCCAGGCTGCGCACACGTTTTCTCTTACACTGCCTCAAAATGTTCATCATCGTTTCCTGAAAGATCACGAAGAACGAGGGTTACACAGGTTTTCATAAGTGAAGATCCTTTATCTGACAGTGACAGATGACAGTGTTGAAGGCAGCTTGGCCTCATTACTACGAAAAGTGATTCTGCTTTATCATGACATGCTAGGGTTATGTGAATCCTTTATCATGACATGCTAGGGTTATGTGAATCCTTTATCATCAATTACAATTAAGGAATTATATCTTAGACGTTTTCCACTTTTCTGAAATTCACCAGTATTATTGGTGGGACATGGGTATAATTTAAATCATACTTCATGACAAACACGAGTACTAATAAATTGTCAGATTGCTGCTTATAATCCCAATTATACCTGCAAGGCATCTCTCTCTCCATGTTTCCCTTCCCGCCACTTCGGGGACACTGAGTGAAGTATATACTTGCATGGCAGACGACCAGCACCAGTGCAGACGACCTCTCCAACAGATGGGCGACCTTTCATATTGATCCGCACTGCACTCTCCTCCTGTATGCTCTTACCCCCTGAGAATCACCATCACAACCAAGTCTGAATAATTCAATACTATCTAGCCTGATCAACCACCTTACTTCTATTCTATCCTGAAGTTATCAGTTTGAGAAACGATTTAGGCATATAATAGGTTATATCTTAAAGAATATTTCCTCTATTGAATGACATAGAGACTGGCTCATTTATTTAAAGCTTTATGCTACCCCTTGCGGGTGACATGTTAAACACAAAACAAAGACGATATTGATGTGTACTCACCCTTTGCAACGATGACTTTAGAAAGGCCAGCCGCAAATTTAAGGTCTGTGTTTGCTGTGTAGGCAATAGCATCAACTTTTAAGGTGCATATGTCTCCTTTTACCACTGACACAATGTGATCATGAGGCAGAGTCCAGGACTTAGTGACAGTAGGTATCTTTTGCAGAAGGTCTTTAGGCCGAATAATTGTTTGTGTCTGATGTTCAATGCCAGTAAGTAGTTCTTTCCCTCTACCTTTCAAGAAGAAGTGTTTGATCCCCGGTACCATGAGACTGTGGTCTTTTGATTTTACGGATGAAAGCAGCTTCTCCAGTTCTTTCCTGGTCTTATTTATTCCATCATTTAATCCAGTAATTGTAAATCCACATGCAAAAGAACCATCTCCAAAATTGATGTGCACTTTAAAATCCTGAAGATTTAGCTCCAGTTGTCGAACCTTTTTATGGCAATGGGCTTGCAGGAATCTGGCACATGGCTCTTCAGCCTTTAGAAAATATTCCCTCACAGAGTTGATGTCAAAATATTTATCAATTTCTGAGACAATATCCTGAAAGATGCTTTGATCACCTGCCACCATAACTGCATCATTTACCACACCTATCTGAAGCTGTCCTCGGTTAGATTCCACGAGTTGCTTTTGCTTTTCCCGCCAATCTGCTGATTGTAAGCTGTTAGAGGATGATTTATCCAGAGGAATAATCTCTTCACAAATTATCTTTTTAATGATGGCTTTAGCTCTGCATATGTCATCAGCGTTTGGACAATATAGACTAACCCTGTTAAGGTCCTCCTTCTGCCATGAGCATACCACACCAGAATCCTCCAGTTGCTGGGGTAAGGAAGAAGTATTCAAGATTTCTACAGCTTCTTTTGTCTTGAAAGTGAGGCTGTCGTTTTGAAGTGAATTGAGTTCTTCGTGAATCATTATTTTTACACTCTGAACCTCAGCTTTGGGTCCCTCTATGGTCACTGAATCCTCTCGGACTTTCAAATGAACTTCGACCCTGGGGTGCTTCTTGCTACAACGCAACAAAAAACTGGACCTTTGCAGGTAACGTATCTGGTAATTCTTGATAAGCAGTGTATCACTTTCTTTAGGTCCAGCTGAAACCAACATTTCATTCAGAGATTCCATAGCCTCCTTCACCCTTTCTCTACATCCAACTACATGGAATTGACCGAAACCTCCATATATTCTGACATTCATCATTGCCAGTGTCTTCTGGAAATCTTGTTTCATTTGATCTCCGTCCATTATGTTTTCATCCGGGATTTTCAGTGTTTCAACTGTTAAGTCCATCTCCTCCAGAGAATCTTGAAGTGCTGCATCAGCTCTTTTCATCCACACCTTCTTGTCGATACCTTCCGTCTTTGTTCCGTTATAGGTGGCTTCCAGTATCACACCATTAGGCTGCTGGATGAACCGGATTCCACACTGGTGCCTTTTCAAATCATCCTGAAGCTTTGTCTTCTCTGGCTCAGATTTACTGATGTACCGTGTGATACGTGCATCAACTGATTTAACTAAATATCGCCACTGAGAATGACCTTCAGTTTCTGAGAATGCTACCGTTTCAGCCTGGAGTGTTCCTGAACAATTCCCCTTTTCCTTTTCAGACTCCTTTGGCATGAATTCTGCTATATCTACATGCAAGTTTACTTTCAGTATTTTGTCCTTTAGCTTAAGGGTCTGAGCACACAGTTTCTCAGCCACTGAAACAGAGATTATATAATCAGATAGTGAGGGTGCAAAACACATCATTACACACTTATGGAACTAGGAAAATAAAATGAATGTGAAGCCTTACTGAGCTTAAATATAAAAAGATTTTTGCGGTACTGGCATACTAAGAAATGATACGATATATCATACATCCTGTCCAGTACATAAGGATAGACTAACACCAACCCCCATATTCTTTAAACCACAAGTATGCTGTAGGTTCTCCAGGGGTGAAACGCATTTCTTTCAGAGGTCCTCCTCTTCTCTTGTTTTCGAAGAAAAGGTATACATCGTCCTCGCTTGCATTGTCTGGTAGTCCTGTCACTCTCAAGCATCTAGACTTCATAACTTGCTTGGCCTTTAGCCTGTGTCCTTCTACCATTTTCTTTGAACATGCTTCCTTTACTGTGGCAAAACCTGTCAAGTAGGGACATATCAATACATAGCTTTATATTTGTTTGCAAAGTCCTTGACTTAGTGCACATGAACAATTACAAACGATTTCCGTTTTCCTGAGAAAGCTCTGATATATCTTAAACCGATTCCATTGTGTTGAAATATCAAAATGGAGGTGAGAATGATATAAATGGATCTCCGAAAGGCAGTGGTGACACCAGGTGTATGTGAAAAGCATCTGCATGCCCTGCATTAGCAGTAGAGCTCTAATTGTAGAATCATGAATGTTTTGTCATGAAAAGGCTGAAGGACATCAACACCTTTTAATTAGTTAGAATTAGTAACGATACTTAAATCATAACATTTTAATTACTTGTGAATTTTGAGGTTCCTTTCATGTATCCATGTACATAAGCAAAACACATGCAACACTTTGTACAAATAAACAAAAGAAACTTAAAGAGTAACTTTGGCACAACACAGAACATGAAAACATGTGATAAGTTTTAACAGTTTTTCTTGTGATCACAGACTGTAACAGGCCATAACAAGGCCAAGCCTCTTCCTGTATATGCACCACACTATGTACATACATGGCCTGCTGTGAAAGGTGACGAGAGCAGACTTGCAGGAGTCTCCTCCTCCCCACTGGATGTCCGCCACATCAACTGCAGCTTTGCTCTCGAGGAAGTTCTCCAGTGTATCCCGGGAAGTTCCTGTTGCAATATTCAGGATCAGCATTTTCTTGTCATCTGGGACTTCGTCCTCTGTCTCTGCTGGGCCATCGTCATCAGAGGGACTCCTCTTGCCCTTCGTCTTGCCAGCTGTAGAACCATCAGGTACAAAGCCTGGCGTGTCTGTGTGCATTGTAACAGTCAGGACATGCTCCTTTAATTTGTGGGTTAATTGACAAACCCTCTCTGCCACTGGAAATCATAAAACAATGTATTCTGGTACCCCGCCAAAAATACATAATCTTAACTTTATGTCATTCCTTTACAAATATGTCAGTGCTACATATAAATGGTCACAAACGTGGTCATGTCATTGACCTAGTCATTACCAGAAATGATGCACATGTGATAGACAGAAGTCGTGTACTTGATTTGCAGGTGTCAGATCATATTTGGATTCATATGGATATGTGTTTTTCTAACCTAAACCAAAGTTAGAAGAAAAAGCATGTCGCAATATAAAGGGAATTTCCATGAAAAAAATTAAGGATGACATAAGATCTTCTGAGCTCTTCTCAAATCCACCTACAGATGTCAACGAACTCACTGATTTGTTCAACTCCACACTGTCAGACCTACTGGATATCTAGCATCAACCCAAACTAGTAATGTGGTGAAAAAACATCAGAACCCCTGGTATCCGTGTGAAGTTTATCAGGCCAAAATCAAGAAGTGCAAGGCTGAAAGGCGGTGGCGAAAGATTGGAGATTGACAGACAGATTTTCAGTTCAGTTAAACTTGAAGTGACACAATTTTGAAAAGATCGAAGTCTGATTATTTCAACCAACCCATTGTCTCCCAATTGCAGAATCCAAAAGCGCTTTTCTCTACCATGTCTTCTTTGATGAGTAAATCTGTAGATGTAATCTCTTCCAGATTCTGGAAACGGTGGTGAAACCCCACAAATGTTCATCCAGTATTTTAGCGAAAAGATCTGCAAGATACGTTCTCTTGGTGCGAGTGATCCAAACCCTTTGCCTCACACAGACAGTACTCCAGTAACCATGGAAGTATTCACTCTATTTCACTCCAGTGAAATACTGAAGTTGATCCAAAGTTCAAACCCAACATCCTGTCAGCTTGATCCCATACCTACCAAGTTGTTACTGGAAGTTCTGGACTGTCTCCTACCTGTTATTACAGCTATTGTAAATCTAAGCTTGACTTCAGGACAAGTCCCAAAATGTATGAAAACTGCCGTCATTAAACCGCTGATTAAGAAATCTAATCTTGATCGCAACAAACTGCAAAGTTACCGGCCGGTATCAAATCTGACATTTTTATACAAGATCTTAAAGAAAGCAGTTAAAACAAGATTCCTGGATCACCTTCAGTCTCGGGCCCTGCTTGATATGTATCAGTCGGCTTACAGAAGTGGATTCAGTACAGAGACAGCTCTCAATAAAGTATGAAACGATTTGAGGACCAGTGTGGATGACGGAAATGTTGCGCTTTTGCTCCTGTTAGATTTATCAGCGGCATTTGATACTGTTGACCACACCTTGCTAATAAACCAATTCATTCTGAATATGGTTGAGACGGCGTTGTTTTGGACTGGTTCCGCTCGTATCTGAGAGACAGATACCAGAGAGTTAGCATTGATGCTACATCATCTGACAACAGTCTTTTGACTTGTGGTGTACCCCGAGGTTCCGTACTGGGCCCAGTATTATTTAGGCTTTACAGCAAGCCTGGCTCTCAAGTCATTAGAAACTGTGCCATTAATGATCATTTGTATGCTGATGACACGCAATTGTACAATAGTTTTGCTTTTGATTACCAGTCACACAGGTCAGGACTGAGTGCGATGGAAGACTGTACATCCAAAATTAGCACATGGATGAACGCCAACATGCTGAAGTTAAACAGCGATAAGACAGAGGCTTTGCTCATAGGACCTGACAAAAGGCTGCAAAAGATCAAAGCAACTCATATCACAGTCGACAGTGATGAAATCAACATTTCGACAGATGCTAGAAGCTTCGGTGTGAAGCTAGACTCATCACTCAACATGGACAAGCACATCAATGACCTCGTCAAAAAAATGCTACTTTCACCTCCGAAACATAGGTAACATACGCCACCTTCTCACAGAAGAAACAGCTGCAGCACTTGCACGTTCAATGATCCTAGCCAGGATTGACTATTGTAATAGTCTGCTTGTAGGGGCTCCAGCGCAACAAATCAGAAGGCTGCAAAACATCCAGAACTCAGCGGCTAGAATTGTCACACTGTCAAAAAGTCCTGTCACATCACTACAGTACTCAGGTATCTCCACTGGCTGCCGGTCAAAGAACGGATACATCATAAGATCCTTACCCTCACATATCAGTGTATCAATGATACAGCTCCTGGTTATCTGTGTGATCTAGTAGAAGACTATGTCCCTACAAGAACTCTCCGTTCCAGTGATCAAATGCTACTAAAGGTCCCCAACATCAGGCTCAAGACATTTGGCGGAAGATCATTCGCATATAATGCTGCTGTTGAATGGAACGCTCTCCCATTTGATCTGAAATCAACTCCAACTCTAGCTTGTTTCAAGAAACATCTTAAGACCCACCTGTTCAATAGAAATGGACTGTAAGCACACAAGTGATATCTACGAATACTGTTAGCGCTTTGAGCACACTTTGGTTGGGAGTTTAGCGCAATATAAGAATCCATATTATTAGTAACGATTACAAACAGAATAAACTAGCAGATTGATCATCTTATTATTGTGAACACACCTGTCCTGTCCTTAAATGTTACAACTGCCGCTTTCCTTCCATTTCCCCATTCAACATGCTTCACTTCTTGTCCGGCCTTGGCCTCCAGAAAGTTCTCAAGGGTATCCTGGGAAGTGTTTGGCCCAATATCCAGCACCAGGATCCTGAATCCGTCCTCATGATCTGTGCATTGAGTGAATCCTGGGAGGTCTACATGGATTCTTACATCGAGTATATGATCTCGCAACTTGTGGGGAGCTTTTTCTATTACCTTTTCAGCAGCTGCAAAATGGCACATTCATCGGGATAGAAAGGTATTACAATTGAAAAATAACAGTGTGCGTTAAAGATAACAATGTGCTGTGTGTCTATGTGTACACTATAAGTGGTGATGATTATATTTACTTTTATGCGATGGTTTTCTGACCAATGATCAAATAAATACAACTGAAAATGGAGAGGTGGTGGTATTAAGCCATACTGTTATAAGTAAATCTGTCCGATGAACCCGTGGTTTAAAAAGTGTCACATACTTCCATATTGTGTATAGTGAACCAAGGCAGAGTTTGTTTCCATGCATAGGTCTATCTCATCAGTGGGTCCTCCTCCATACTTCTTGTTCTCAAAGTAGAAACGGACGTTATCTTTTGTGGTGTTTCTGGACAATCCCCCTACTTTCAGACATCTGGACCTGGGAACTGGCTTCACTTCCATGTTACTTCCTTCAATCCTTGTGCTTTTACATGCAGCAGAGATTGTTGGGACGTCTGCGGAACAAAATATCGTAAATATCTTAAATGTTGATCGGCATTCTAGATATTGATGAGTAAATAAGTAAACGTAAAAATCAGAATGAAATGACCTTGCAGAGGTTGTTGTTGGTCGTTAGCAATATCCCAGTTATTGAAAATTACCCATGTGTAATATAGTGCGGCTATATCATGAGCACAACCCTATGCCATTAGATGTCTCCATCTACTGTCTATCCGACCCTGTCCATGTGATACATCCAGGTAAGGCTTCTGGTGTCCCTGCCATGATATTCCTGGAATATTGCTAAAAGCAGCGTAAAACCGAACTCACTCACTCACTCACTCCAGGTGACGCTTACAAGTAGCATATGTTCTTGGGGACCAGTTTCTGTGAAGAAGTCCCCCTAAAACACCAGTGTCAACTAACATTATGTACTTCATAATTTTCAGCAGTTCTTTCCTTGAAAACTGAGGTAATTACCATACCTGGTTGGGCATTAAATGTAACAATGGCCGACTTCTTGTCTTCAGCCCAGTCCAATCTCTCCACTTCAGCTTCAGCCTTTGACTCAAGGAAGTTCTCAAGAGTGTCCTCAGTTGTTCCAGGGCCAATGTTCACAAGCAGGAGTCTGTGCTCGTCAATATGAGAGTCTGTGGCACCATCTGAAGGTGAACATACTGTAATCTACATGTAAGGCATCCCGCTTTTAGCAGATATAGCAGATACAAATTGATATATAGCATGGACGACATCGTCTCCTAGCACCAACAACGGGAACAATCAGAAGGGTGATTTGCTAAAATTCGCATGTACAAATATTAGAGAGCTTCATAGACTGGCAATTATGTTATCAATGTCAGTTTTCCTTCTTCAGTCATAAGCAACATGCATCATTAAGCAGTGTCATACATATAAATGTCATTATGATACATATTCATGATTAGACAACTAATGCAATGAGAGCTGTATGTTTGAAAGCATCATGTACTAACCTTGATCATTCGGTTGATCGGCAGGGTAACCATGATTTCCAGTTGAATATTGGATAGTTGGTCTCTCTGCCGTATCACCTGGGAGGTTTGGGTTTGGCCCTGTTACAGCATAGCCACCCTGTAATTTATGAGGCTGGTCTCTGTCTGATGAAACAGCGTGGTGGGGTCCTCTGTGAGGCATGTACTCAAGACTCACGGAACACTGTTCAAACATCTCTGTGTTGGTTTGCAGATGACGTGCTGAAGGGTCACGTTGCCCGCTTCCTGTTGGTGTTGGTAGGAATGGACCGACGTTTCTTTGTAGATTTGTTTGTTGATGTGGCTGATGCTGGTGATAGTTTGGATATATGCTTGGACCCGGATCATGGGTTTGATCAGTTTGGGCCTGGAACTGACGTTGCTGGTCGTTGGGATATGGTCTTAAACCCGGACTATGGGCTTGATCAGTTTGGGCCGGGAACTGACGCTGCTGGTCGTTGGGATATGGTCTTGGAACCGGACCATGGGTTTGATCAGCTTGGACCTGGAACTGACGCTGTTGGTCGTTGGCATATGGTCTTAGAACCGGACCATGGGTTTGATCAGCTTGGGTCTGAAAGTGGCGCTGCTGGTCGTTGGGATATGATCTTGGAACTGGACCATAGGTTAGATCAGCTTGGGCCTGGAACTGATGTTGCTGGTCGTTGGTATATGGTCTTGGACCAGGACCATGAGTTTGATCAGTTTCGGCCTGGAACTGACGCTGCTGGTCGTTGGGATATGATCTTGGATCCAGACCATGGGTTTGATCAGTTTGGGCCTGGAACTGACGCTGCTGGTCGTTGGGATATGATCTTGGATCCGGACCATGGGTTTGATCAGTTTGGGCCTGGAACTGACGCTGCTGGTCGTTGGGATATGATCTTGGTCCCGGACCATGGGTTTGATCAGATTGGGCCTGGAACTGACGCTGCTGGTCGTTGGGATATGATCTTGGACCCGGACCATGGGTTTGATCAGATTGGGCCTGGAACTGACGCTGCTGGTCATTGGGATATGATCTTGGACCCGGACCATGGGTTTGATCAGATTGGACCTGGAACTGACGCTGCTGGTCGTTGGGATATGATCTTGGACCCGGACCATGGGTTTGATCAGTTTGGGCCTGGAACTGACGCTGCTGGTCGTTGGGATATGATCTTGGATCCGGACCATGGGTTTGATTAGCTTGGGTCTGAAAGTGGCGCTGCTGGTCGTTGGGATATGGTCTTGGATCCGGACCATGGGTTTGATCAGTTTGGGTCTGGAAGTGGTGCTGGTGGTCGTTGGGATATGGTCTTGGTCCCGGACCATGGGTTTGATCAGATTGGACCTGGAACTGATGCTGCTGGTCGTTGGGATATGATCTTGGACCCGGACCATGGGTTTGATTAGCTTGGGTCTGAAAGTGGCGCTGCTGGTCGTTGGGATATGGTCTTGGATCCGGACCATGGGTTTGATCAGTTTGGGTCTGGAAGTGGTGCTGGTGGTCGTTGGGATATGGTCTTGGACCCGGACCATGGGTTCGGTCAGCTTGGGCCGGGAACTGATGCTGCTGGTCGTTGGGATATGGTCTTGGTCCCGGACCATGGGTTTTATTAGCTTGGGTCTGAAAGTGGCACTGCTGGTCGTTGGGATATGGTCTTGGACCCGGACCATGGGTTTGATCAGATTGGGCCTGGAACTGATGCTGCTGATCGTTAGTATATGGTCTTGGACCTGGACCATGAGTTTGATCAGCTTGGGCCTGGAAGTGGCCTGCGGAGTATGCTGAAGAGGAGTTACTGGTCTGTTTGGAAGGATGAAAATCAGAATGCTTGTTGTCAGGTGGGAGGCTTTGATGCATACGGGATGTGTTGAACCTCTCGCCTTGGTGGGGTTGATGCTGACTGCAGTCATGAGATGGGTCACCCTCTTGCGGTATTCCCAGCCTTGTCAGTATGTGTTGATCTTCTTTATCTCCCTTCATTGAGTAACATTTCTGCCAAAGATCGTGGCTCTCCTTTCTCATCATTGACTGCGGATCTCCGTATGCATGACTAGGTCCTGTTACAGGCTTGCTTGCCTGTGGGGTGCCTTGGTGCTGATATTGATGTGTTGCCATTGTAGAATGTAAATCCCCTTGTGCTTCTAGAGTTGACTGTGGCACCTCAGGTTGTTGTTGCGCCACAGACTGTGGGTCGCCATATTCTGTGCTAGGCATTTGTACAGGATGGCTACCCCGGTGGATGCCTTGGTGTTGATAGTATTGCTGTGAACGTCCTTGACTGGCCTCCCCAGGTGACTGATACTCCTGTGATATTTGATGCTGCATCACAGACTGGGGACCACTTAGCCCTAGACTGGGCCCCATGAGAGACTGAAACTCCACTTGATCCTGCTGGGGGCCATAGTGACCAAAACCTTCCGATTTCACGGCAAACTGACCATCTTGTCCTAGCGACTGGGCGTATTGCGTGTTTTGCATCTGCTGTTGTAAAGGAGGGCATGGTTGTTGTTGTTGTTGTTGTTGTTGTTGTTGCTGGTTAAAGTGACCTTGTTCTCTCTGTTGCAGAGGAAAATTGCCACGAGGAAGCTGACCTTGAGGATTACTCATTTTTCTGCACCTGGAGGCTGTTGCTTCTCGCCATGAAGATAGCCTTACCTACAACCAAAGGTCATTTCTTCATTATTGTTTGTATGTAAAACAGATTAGCCAAGCACACTGCCGATCAGTATGCTATCATTTTACCACAAAGAGAATCTTCACCTAGAACTTAAAGTTACTGTTTATTTACACGGAAGAGTATATAGATTTGTCGAAAGATTATATCAGTATATGATAACAATGCTGCTATGCAGTGGATTCTTCGTGGGTTCAACTGGGCTGCCTGAGTCTAGGTTACATTCCCGTCTGGGCTGATGATAATTTTTAATAAGCCCAATCAGGCGGACTGTGCCAGGATCACCTGAACCTTCTTTGCTGCGTTAATATGTTTTAATCTGTATAATGATTATATATCATTATCAGCCCCGAGGTGTTATATAAGGTGTCGAGAAAGAAGTTGAAACAAGCATTGTCACTAAGGTGACATAATCCCCGCCGCAAATTATCAAATCAAACTTATAAAGTAATGAAAGTTTAAGATGAAGTTAAATGTCAATAAAAACATTATCTTGCTCTTTGTTGTTCAAACACACACATATTTTCAAGACTGACTTTGACCTTGACATGAATGTCATAGTGTATGAAAAATGCAAAACTAGTACTAAAGACATGGCTTATTGAAAAACATTCAAGGGAGGTCTTGAAAGTCTATGAAGAAAATCCAGTGAACTGTTCTTAAAATATCTTGCTGAACATTCTGAAATCTTCATAGTGTCGTCGTGACCCTAAAACTTACGTGAAGGTCACCAAACTTGACTGGGCCCTGGGCCTTCCCTAGATGAAGCTTGGTGTCAAATATGAAGAAAATCCACTGAATATTTTTGGGATATCTTGCTGACTATCTTAATAAGCAATTTAACATGCTGAAATCTTCAAAGTGTCTGTGGCCTTGAAATTTAAGTGAAGGTCACCAAAATCGACTGGGCCCTGCGCCTTCCCTGGATAAAGCTTGGTGTTAAATATGAAGGAAATCCAGTGAACGGTTATTGAGATAGCTTAACATGCAGGTAAAACGTGAAAGTCCCCTTGTGACCTTGAAATGAAGGTCAAGGTCACCAAACCTGACTTGGCCCTTTCTTATAGTGTGATGAACCTAGGTACCAAATATGAAAAGAATCTAGGGAACAGTTCTTAAGATATTCCAATTCGTACGTACGTACATACGGACGGACGGAGCCTAATACTATATCCCCCACTTCGCGCTAAACGCGCGGCGGGGGATAATAACTAATGTATTGGGTGACATGGAGGCTATTGTTCGTTGTTCGGTCACAATCAAAATGCGCAAAAACACAGCATTAAATATCCTGTTTTTCATGATGCAGCTCTAAAGTTCAGCAGTCCTGAAAAACGGGGTCGAAGTAGCAGCTGTGTCAACTGAATTGTAGCGGGCATAGATTTAGATTTACACCATGACTTTCACGTTTCATCAGTTTCATATGCATTGTGACAGGAAATGTAACCACCTCAAATAGTGAGGTCAATTGTTTCCCTTTTCAAAGGGGAAAATTCCTAGTTTCGTTTTAAAACAATCCTTTGAAATTATATTCCATGTCAAAATCATTACTTAATTATTGACGACGTACGGTATTGGGTATACAATTAAAATATAGGCAGAGAAATAGATTTCCATCCATACCTATCCATCAACCCTTCCATGTATTTGTACAAGATAATGATTGATAATGGTGATGACTACAAAGAGATAGCACTCACGTCAGGATGAGCACGTCCATCAGTAGCATCCAGTTGCGTCACACGTAGATCTTCTCACCTGTAATATCGCAAGTTGTTGCTTATTGTTTTCGTATATAATGATTACAAATCTGGTCTCGGTCGGAGGACGATGCATATACGTGTGTGAATCTGGCTTACATAGGGTAACTGCTCCCACTGACAAATGATACGTTCCTATTTTCGCTTTCGTTTTTACTTGTCTGATAACGCATATGTAGATGACTGCGTCATTCAGTGGCGCGTGGTGTAGTGTGTGACTGTATGCGGACTACTCCATATGCAGGGATGTGAATTGATAGACATATACCGTACATCTCCTTCCAAGTTTTGTGCGCGTGTATATGTGTACAGTATAATCTTTACAGTAAACACTGTTAATTTTAGTATTTTCATTATTCTAAAATTGGCTAATTTCAAAATATATTTGCCAAATGCTAATAATTTTGACAGGTATCTACGTCTTTGAAAATGCCGAATTTTCTTTCTATTTCTGGCCCCACAGCTCGACATGCTGGCAAATGAGATGAATACTTTATAGCGGTCGCCCTCTATGCAACACTTAGAGTTGTGTCCCTTGTATTTACGGAAATGTGTTTGGTGGATTAATTGACAAGCTATGTAGAACAAGTAGTGTGGTCACAACATGGAGCGGCCGGTAATTTCCTACCTGCAGAAATTAGTGCTATACGAAACCAAGGCTGTAAGTATTTATCTACAATAGTGTTTTTCATCATGTCATCTCAGATATTTAACCCGTGACACAGACACCCTGACGACAGCTTACAAGTACATAACCTACCCTCACCAAATCCTGCCTTTGGGGAGGCCTAAAATAAGCGTGTTCACTGTTTCACTATCCTGCCGAAATGACACAGTAATGACAACAGTACAGTTTAACCACTGACACCACTGACACTATCTTCACTGATTGGTCACCTCACCTGTCTCTAATGCTGAAGCCTTCATCAGAGTCCTTAGCATTTTGACTCTCAAATCTTTTCCCATTGATGGTTAGTGATTGCAGCAATGTAGCAGCACAGCTTATGGCGCTAACTGACCGAGGCTTCTTGCGCTTCTTCTATTCAGAGGACCACAATGTAGCAGCACAGCTTATGGCGCTAACTGACCGAGGCTTCTTGCGCTTCTTCTATTCTGAGGGACCACAATGTAGCAATGTAGCAGCACAGCTTATGGCTAACTGACCGGAGGCTTCTTGCACTTCTTCTATTCTGAGGGACCACAATGTAGCAGCACAGCTTATGGCTAACTGACCGAGGCTTCTTGCGCTTCTTCTATTCTGAGGACCACAATGTAGCAGCACAGCTTATGGCGCTAACTGACCGAGGCTTCTGCGGCTTCTTCTATTCTGAGGGACCACAATGTAGCAGCACAGCTTATGAAGCTAACTGACCGAGGCTTCTTGCGCTTCTTCTATTCTGAGGACCACAATGTAGCAGCACAGCTTATGGCGCTAACTGACCGAGGCTTCTTGCGCTTCTTCTATTCTGAGGACCACAATGTAGCTGCGTTAATGTTGGAGTGCTCCTCTCTATCTCAGTGTTGAAATCATTAGCAGGTGTTTTAAATCTGAACAATCTGATTTCAGCGTTTCTACATTGTTGGCTCCAACAAGACAGAGACCAAGTTCCGTGTGCTGAAGATAGACCGGACAGAGCCAAGAGAGCTAGTTGTTAATGATGATAAGGTACGTAGAGAGGCGAAGTACAGTTTCAACAAACTAATTACAAGCTATATAGTACAGAAATAACAGTTCTCATTGAAATATTTGTTACATACTTCTATTTGTACAGATCCTAGTACTTTTGGGGTTGGACAATCCACCACATCGGTTTTTGACAGCACTAAAACTTTTTTTAAAAACTTTTAAAATACTATTTTTTAATGTAGAGGTTAGTTATGTCTTTGTTATCTCTGTTTCAAACTAATATTTTTCTCCAATTTGATCAAACACAGATGTTTATTAGATGATTCTGAGTATTTTGTTACTGGAGCAATAGCTGGAAAGTGCTTGTTGACAAACAAGCTGCTGGTGAAGTCAGAAAAACAGCAATTTAAAATGGCCAAGTAGATAGCTAATGAAAACATCTGACAGTAAAATGTATTTGAAAACATAACCAGGTACTAGAGCATATGTCCATGTCAATATATATGGATTTTATCTACTCAATCATGGTGTCCAGGTTGAGTACAGTAAGACAGAGATTCGGAATATCCTGACGATGATCAACGTTGGGAACCAAACCCCCATGGCCAGACGAGGAGGGGTGGGACTCACCAAGACAGTCTCTGCGTTCGGTATTGTCGGTGAGTGAGCTTTAATACAAAAACGACCGGAGTCAAAATGATGTAATATCTACAATGAAACAAATTCTTTATGGTTGTGAAACAACTTACAACATGATATGTAAACATACAACACTTCTCATGTTGAAAGTTGTGGTCAGTAACTGGTGTAGCCATTGTGATGTATCACATGTCGTACAAAGTTTCTAAATATTTAGAGGATCCAGATATGAAATACACAATGCCATTTTAGAAAGTGGTCAAATGTAACATATGTTATATTTGAGATTACACTTTCTTAGTAAAGTACAGATTCTTACTTTTTGGGTTTGAGTCCCATCCGGCACCTAATCGCAAGCACACTAAGTCAGACGCCTAGACCGCTCAGCCACTGCGACTTCCACAGTGCACTGAGTTATTCCTTGGTATTTATTCAGAATATATTTGAATATCATTGCTGACAGCTACTTCCATCAAGTGTCCATTTTGACCTGTTGACTATCTATCCAGGTGAGCTAGTTGCTGCTGCACTATAACTCACTGATCTACCACACTGCAGCACTATAACTCACTGATCTACCACACTGCGGCACTATAACTCACTGATCTTCTACCACACTGTGGCACTATAACTCACTCATCTTCTACCACACTGCGGCACTATAACTCACTGATCTTCTACCACACTGTGGCACTATAACTCACTGATCTACCACACTGCGGCACTATAACTCACTGATCTCTACCACACTGCGGCACTATAACTCACTGATCTTCTACCACACTGCGGCACTATAACTCACTGATCTTCTACCACACTGCAGCACTATAACTCACTGATCTTCTACCACACTGCAGCACTATAACTCACTGATCTTCTACCACACTGCGGCACTATAACTCACTGATCTTCTACCACACTGCGGCACTATAACTCACTGATCTTTTACCACACTGCGGCACTATAACTCACTGATCTTCTACCACACTGCGGCACTATAACTCATTGATCTTCTACCACACTGCGGCACTATAACTCATTGATCTTCTACCACACTGTGGCACTATAACCCACTGATCTTCTACCACACTGCGGCACTATAACTCATTGATCTTCTACCACACTGTGGCACTACAACTCACTGATCTTCTACCACACTGCGGCACTATAACTCACTGATCTTCTACCACACTGCAGCACTATAACTCACTGATCTTCTACCGCACTGTGACATAGCAGAACTTCTCATCAGAGCCTGCAAACCCAACTCTTGTTGCATCACAGTGTATAGATAAACACCTCCCAACCATACAGATACTAAGTATATGAAATGTTACTGCATTATGCCATGGCTCAGGGTTCATCCGCTTCCTGGAAGGCTACTATGTGATTCTGGTCACCAAGCGCCGCAAGGTGGCGCTGATTGGTCCTCACACTATCTACAAGATCGAGGACACATCGATGCTGTACATCCCCAACGATACAGTCAGGTTCTTCCACCCGGAGGAGAGCAGGTGAGGGATGGTTGGGTACAGCAGACCCTCACTACCCATGCTTGTCATGCTGACTCAGCGGATGCTTTGATACTGGACTGACAAGGGGACTTGACTGATTGGGTGGACAGGCTCCGTGTCTTCACTGATTGGGTGGACAGACTCCGTGTCTTAACTGATTGGGTGGACAGGCTCCATGTCTTGACTGATTGGGTGGACAGACTCCATAACTTGACTGATTGCATGGACAGTCTCCGTATCTTGACTGACTGGATGAACAGACTCTGTATCTTTACTGATTGGGTGGACAGACTCCATGACTTGACTGATTGGGTGGACAGACTCCATGACTTGACTGATTGGGTGGACAGACTCCATGACTTGACTGATCCGGTGGACAGACTCCATGACTTGACTGATTGGGTGGACAGACTCCATGACTTGACTGATTGGGTGGACAGCCTCCGTGACTTGACTGATTGGGTGCACAAACTCCATGACTTGACTGATTGGGTGGACAGACTCCATGACTTGACTGATTGGGTGGACAGCCTCCGTGACCTGACTGATTGGGTGGACAGCCTCCGTGACTTGACTGATTGGGTGGACAGATGCGTGACTTGACTGATTGGGTGGACAGATGCCGTGACTTGACTGATTGGGTGGACAGACTCCATGACTTGACTGATTGGGTGGACAGTCTCCATATCTTGTCTCATTGGGTGGACAGCCTCCGTGACTTGACTGATTGGGTGGACAGGCTCCGTATCTTGACTGACTGGGTGGACAGATGCCGTGACTTGACTGATCCGGTGGACAGACTCCATGACTTGACTGATTGGGTGGACAGACTCCATGACTTGTCTGATTGGGTGGACAGACTCCATGACTTGACTGATTGGGTGGACAGGCTCCATTATCTTGACTGACTGGGTGGACAGATGCATTGACTTGTCTGATTGGGTGGATAGACTCCGTGACTTGACTGATTGGGTGGACAGACTCCATGACTTGACTGATTGGGTGGACAGACTCCATGACTTGACTGATTGGGTGGACAGACTCCATGACTTGACTGATTGGGTGGACAGACTCCATGACTTGACTGATTGGGTGGACAGTCTCCATATCTTGTCTCATTGGGTGGACAGCCTCCGTGACCTGACTGATTGGGTGGACAGATGCCGTGACTTTACTGATTGGGTGGACAGACTCCATGACTTGACTGATTGGGTGGACAGACTCCATGACTTGACTGATTGGGTGGACAGACTCCATGACTTGACTGATTGGGTGGACAGTCTCCATATCTTGTCTCATTGGGTGGACAGCCTCCGTGACCTGACTGATTGGGTGGACAGATGCCGTGACTTTACTGATTGGGTGGACAGACTCCATGACTTGACTGATTGGGTGGACAGACTCCATGACTTGACTGATTGGGTGGACAGTCTCCATATCTTGTCTCATTGGGTGGACAGCCTCCGTGACTTGACTGATTGGGTGGACAGGCTCCGTATCTTGACTGACTGGGTGGACAGATGCCGTGACTTGACTGATCCGGTGGACAGACTCCATGACTTGACTGATTGGGTGGACAGACTCCATGACTTGTCTGATTGGGTGGACAGCCTCCATGACTTGACTGATTGGGTGGACAGGCTCCGTATCTTGACTGACTGGGTGGACAGATGCCGTGACTTGACTGATTGGGTGGACAGACTCCATGACTTGACTGATTGGGTGGACAGACTCCATGACTTGACTGATTGGGTGGACAGACTCCATGACTTGACTGATTGGGTGGACGGACTCCATGACTTGACAAAATGAGTGGGATTTTGCGTGGAGCAATTATTCCTTTAATGGTGGATAACTGTCAGTTTTGTGTAGATATAGCAACCAAAAATGTTTTTCAAATGTTGGCCTATGTTTATGGTTAAGCCAAATAGCAACCTTGTTTTTTTATATTTATATTGCTATATTTTGCTTCGTTTGTCATTTCAGATATGTGCGGATGTTTCAGAATGTTGACTTGTCAAGTAACTTCTACTTCAGGTTTGTCACATACAAGAATGTAACTGATGTTCTCGGGGGAAATCACAGCACTAACTTAAGTAGTGTAACTGATTTACTCTGGGGAAATCAAGGCACTTACTTAAGTAGTGTAACTGATGTACTCAAGGGAAATCACAGCACTTACTTAAGTAGTGTAACTGATTTACTCGGGGGAAATCAAGGCACTTACTTAAGTAGTGTAACTGATGTCTCGGGGGAAATCAAGGCACTTACTTAAGTAGTGTAACTGATGTACTTGGGGGAAATCAAGGCACTTACTTAAGTAGTGTAACTGATGTACTCAAGGGAAATCACAGCACTTACTTAAGTAGTGTAACTGATTATTTACTCGGGGGAAATCAAGGCACTTACTTAAGTAGTGTAACTGATGTACTTTCGAGGAAATCAAGGCACTTACTTAAGTAGTGTAACTGATGTACTCGGGGGAAATCAAGGCACTTACTTAAGTAGTGTAACTGATGTACTCAAGGGAAATCACAGCACTTACTTAAGTAGTGTAACTGATTTACTCAGGGGAAATCAAGGCACTTACTTAAGTAGTGTAACTGATGTACTCGGGGGAAATCAAGGCACTTACTTAAGTAGTGTAACTGATGTACTCGGGGGAAATCAAGGCACTTACTTAAGTAGTGTAACTGATGTACTCAAGGGAAATCACAGCACTTACTTAAGTAGTGTAACTGATTTACTACTTAAGGGGAAATCAAGGCACTTACTTAAAGGGCAAGTGTACACGAAAATTAACCTTTTTGTCTTGCACTTTTCATCATAAAAGTGTTTATCAAGTAGTTTTATATCCAAACACGTACATATATCAGAAGTAACTAATTTATTTTTTGCGTTATATCAATTCATATTTTCAACATTTACCAAGAGTTCTATGTCCACAATAAACACACCATGGCTGATGTCCCTTGGAAATGACGTCATTGGTTGCCAATCTGATAAACTAATGGCGTCGTTAGACCTTATTAGACCCATTTCGTGAGGTGCAGGTATAGGTGTGGTTCTTGTGTCTCGATGCGCAGGCTACTGTTTTAATCCAACTGTTGCCTAGCCTTCAGCTGGCTATGTGGTCAGTTCTACACTGTAATGACGTTGCTGTTTTGAAAAAAGTATACATTGTACTAAACGTGTTACCACGTAACCAAATTGTATAACATTCAACCTGAGTCGGTCGCCTTTTCAACAGTATCATTTTTCACAAAAATTAAAGCGTGCACTACATCTAGCTTGCCATCTGTGAATGTGCCGGCCTTCTACGTTTGTTACTAAAATTCCTACTTAAATCGCATTTAATATGTCCCTTTTCTTCCACCTTCACTTTGATATCGATACCATATCCAAATACATCACGAAGATAAATGCAATTTGCAGTTTTGAACTCTGTTTGAATTCGTTTTTCTATGATAGATGTATCATCCGGCTCATTATCCAAATATACTGAAAATTACATGCATCGTAAATCTTGCCAGTTTTGACACACTACTAAATCACCATTTACTGCGTTTTGCGTAATTTATAGTATGTCTTAATTCAAATGTCAAACTTTACTGGGAGAACTCAATTTAAAAAGAAAAGACGTATCATTGTGATCAGCGGTAGTTTTGTTGTTGTATGATCAAATCACCAATGCTCGCTCTGAAGCATTGTCGATGAACCGAGAATCGCTGAGAATGTTAAGGGAAATCACATAAAACACCAAAGCCATATGACAGAGTGTTTATAAAATCACGCCGCATGTATGTTGGTTATGTTTCGCCCATAAAATCAATAAAATTGTATAGTTCAACACCATCTTCCTGACAGGAATCCTGAATTCCACATACAGTTCAAAATAAACTGGTAAGTGGACTTTATCACCAATTCGAAGTGTTTCAGTGAAATCGAAGGCGAAATATATCAGATGCAGCACTGGGAAAGGACCACATGTTTGAAATGTAAACAAAGCCAATCTCGGATTTTACACTGTGTATCCGTTCAGCCTACTTGTTGCCTGGTCATTAGATTTAGAACATGCATGGGAAAGGTATAAGTAGCAAGCGATAGTTAAATAAAATAGGTGTATTGTTGTGATTTTCTAGATTCATCACAACATATATTACAGTTTCTGAAAGCTGTGGCGCCATGACTGACACCAACTCACGCATAACGATGGCGGTACCTCTCTTAATTTCAGACTATTTCCCTTGGTCACAATGAAAACAAAAGAAAATAACAACCAGCAGACTGACATAATTTTCGGACTACTTACATGTCACATTTATGCATATACGTTTAGTTTGAAACAACGAAAATGTCTTGAAAACTTCGCACTTTCGTGTCAGTGAACACGCCATTTTGAAAAAGTAAGCTTGTAGTGATGTCATCATGGACGCCAACATTGTTATACACATTTGGTATTTTCACTGAGGTGAGGTTATGAATGAAAATACACACGATCAAACTGTCCTGCTGCTTACATTGTCTGATCTTATGCTTCTTTCGAATTTTCACAAACTTTTTCACGTGATTAATTTCAGTATAATTTATCTTAGGACTAGACAGGAGACCAGTTTAAAATCAAGTGGCACCAACCACGCCATAATCAAGGGCAGTAACTCTGGCCTGTTTTAGCTCTGCAAACAAAGGCCTCATATTGGCGTTAACATAGCAGCACTTATTTTGTGGGTTATACTTACACTGTAAGAAAAATAAGTGTATATTTTCAAACATTGGTATTAACTAATTAAAACAGTTCACTTTGATTCACATAAGAATAAATGTGATTTATTCGCGGTACAGTTCCCCTTAAGTAGTGTAACTGATGTACTCTGGGAAATCAAGGCACTTACTTAAGTAGTGTAACTGATGTACTCGGGGGAAATCAAGGCACTTACTTAAGTAGTGTAACTGATGTACTCGGGGGAAATCAAGGCACTTACTTAAGTAGTGTAACTGATGTACTCGGGGAAATCACAGCACTTACTTAAGTAGAGTAACTGATTTACTCGGGGGAAATCAAGGCACTTACTTAAGTAGTGTAACTGATTTACTCAGGGGAAATCAAGGCACTTACTTAAGTAGAGTAACTGATATACTCAGGGGAAATCAAGGCACTTACTTAAGTAGTGTAACTGATGTACTCGGGGGAAATCAAGGCACTTACTTAAGTAGTGTAACTGATTATACTCAGGGAAATCAAGGAAATCAACTTACTTAAGTAGTGTAACTGATGTACTCAAGGGAAATCACAGCACTTACTTAAGTAGTGTAACTGATTTACTCAGGGAAATCAAGGCACTTACTTAAGTAGTGTAACTGATGTACTCAGGGAAATCAAGGCACTTACTTAAGTAGTGTAACTGATGTACTCAAGGGAAATCACAGCACTTACTTAAGTAGTGTAACTGATTTACTCGGGGGAAATCAAGGCACTTACTTAAGTAGTGTAACTGATGTACTCAGGGGAAATCAAGGCACTTACTTAAGTAGTGTAACTGATGTACTCTTCAGGGGAAATCATAGCACTTACTTAAGTAGTGTAACTGATGTACTCGGGGAAATCAAGGCACTTACTTAAGTAGTGTAACTGATTTACTCAGGGGAAATCAAGGCACTTACTTAAGTAGAGTAACTGATATACTCAGGGGAAATCAAGGCACTTACTTAAGTAGTGTAACTGATGTACTCGGGGGAAATCAAGGCACTTACTTAAGTAGTGTAACTGATGTACTCGGGGGAAATCAAGGCACTTACTTAAGTAGTGTAACTGATGTACTCAAGGGAAATCACAGCACTTACTTAAGTAGTGTAACTGATGTACTCGGGGGAAATCAAGGCACTTACTTAAGTAGTGTAACTGATGTACTCAGGGGAAATCAAGGCACTTACTTAAGTAGTGTAACTGATGCACTCAGGGAAAATTAAAGCAGTATCCCGGCTGCTTCGTTTCTTGGGAAGTAAACCCAAGTACAAAATATTGCACTTTTGATTTGCGATTGTACGCTTATAATTTTGTTTATATGTTTTTTCATAATCAGCAATGTATATTATATGTCATGAATAAGTGATAATTGTGTTTTAATTATGTTTGATGTTGCATGTGACCTGTAAGTAGTGTAACTGATGTACTCAGGGGAAATCAAGACTCTCACTTAATTATCCCCCGCAGCGCGTTTTGCAGGGGTATTAAAATGGACTCCATGCGTGCGTCCGTGCACATTAGTCTTTTCCGGAGCAGAACTCTAAAACCGTTTAATGTTTCTTCACCAAACTTGGCACATAGATAGATCTGGTGGTGAACTGGTGCCTTTTGGTAGTTTTGGATTTCTGAATAAAATATTTTTGGCATTTCCATGGCAACAAGTTTCACTTTGACTGAAATTGGTGGTAGTGCTCTTTTCCAGAGCAGAACTTAAAAACTGTTCACTGTTTCATCACCAAATTTCATACATAGGTAGGTCTGGTGGTGAACTGGTGCCTTTTGGTAGTTTTGGATTTCTGAATAAAATGGGGTTTTTTTTGCATTTCCACGGCAACAATTTGGCTTCAACTGAATTTGGTGGTAGTGCTCCTTTCTGGAGCAGAACTTTGAAGCCTTCAGTACTCTCCTTCCACTTATCTATATACACGCCAAAACATTTGACATAATCATAATTTGTAGACATATTCATGAAGAGTATTTTGCCATTGCAGGGGATATTGATGACTTTGCCTTCTTGTTAGTCATGTTTGGTGGATTTACTGTTTTACTGGAATCATGGGGTGTCAACGGTGGACTCAAAGTATTTCCTTATATATCGATCCTGATCCCGGACTCATCTCTGAGTCTCATGTTCAAGCATGTAATGTTGTACTGCACATGTTTAATGTCTTTGGCAACCGTGTTGGTGGCACCATGTCTTCATGTCTCCACAGCGTGGAACACTGATCACAAGGTTGGTCCACACAGGTTCATTGAATAAATATCTCAAATAGTAGTTGGTGCAGCAATAAACAACATACAAGCAAACTTTAGTTTCATAATCCAAGATTGTATAAAATGTTGTGCAAAGTTGTGTCAGTGTATGAAGCGGCAATGTCGGGCCCAGGTCACAACTCAGTTAGCAACTTTTGGCACGAAGAGTCCTGGAATGGGTGACTGTGTCTGGCAGCTGGACTCATGAGAGATTCTAGGACACAGTCCTGCCCCACAATGAAGCACATGTGATACATCTGGTTTCACCTTAGGGAAGTGAGTTTGTTCAAGAATTGCCTCTGTTCACCCAGCAGTGAATGGGTACCCGGTGGGATAAGTCATATAACCTTCTAGTGCTGCAGCTTGGGTTATCCGGGGTAATAATGTGTCAGCACTTTGAGCATGCACAAGTACGTGGAAACAGTTGCTGTATAAATAGCCCTTGTTATAAGTGCGTTCTCTTCTCCAGCTACAGCTATGACTTGACCCACACCCTGCAGTACAACATGACCCCGAGCCTTGACCCAGGTCACCAGCCTCCCTTTGAATCCATGCCGTCTCCAGCAGCCAGCAATCAGGAGTTTCTAGAAGACATAGTGGCACGGGTGCGCTCCCCCCGCCCCCCGGGAATGTCCACCCCTACTGAGGATGGGGCAGCACTTCGGGACATGAACTACATTCCAAGGAGCAATCACATGGATCAGTCCATAGAGAGCAGCCCCAAACCTGGAGGTAGGTGGTGCTTGGCGTGTATTTTCTTGTCTTGGGCTTTTTGTAGTCAAGTGACATGTTTAAACCAGTAATGTTAGGTAGGCTTTAAAAAGCATGTGTGCAGTTACTTCCTGATATTGATAACATATTTTCTTCTGTTTGCTGATGATTTAAAACATTATGGTGATGTGGTGTTTAGGCTTCGTAAGATGCTCTCTATACAACAAAATTACTGAAATACCTCAAAAAGGTAAACAATTTATCAGTACACCTGCGTTTGTATGTTTCCATATGTACCTGTGAGCTACACACGTTGATAACAATATTAACAGTATTCCACATTCAACCTGTTGATGATGTGATGGACAACTGATTGTTCTTCTGTAGATGAGACAGTGTATGGAGTTCGCAACAAGCCATGTGAGAAGTTTGTATGGAACAGGCACCTGCTAACTGGGGTGATGGAGGTAGTTCACCCTGACTGGATCATCTACTTCACCAATGGGTTTGTGGGGCAGTCCAGTATCCTTGTACTTTCACACTTGTGGTTCTTGAGCTGCTTTCAACATTTAATCTAATAGGATCACATGAGATTTAGATGATGTAAAAGTAGATTCCACTGTCAGATGTTAGAGCCCACAGGCAGAAAGTAGAGTCCAATGGCTGATGTTTGATCCTGCAGGCAGAAAGTAGAGTCCACTGGGTGATGTTAGATCCTGCAGGCAGAACATAGAGTCCACTGGGTGATGTTAGAGCCAGCAGGCAGAAAGTAGAGTCCACTGGGTGATGTTAGAGCCTGCAGGCAGAAAGTAGAGTCCACTGGGTGATGTTAGATCCTGCAGGCAGAAAGTAGAGTCCACTGGGTGATGTTAGATCCTGCAGGCAGAAAGTAGAGTCCACTGGGTGATGTTAGATCCTGCAGGCAGAAAGTAGGAGTCCACCTGCAGGCTGCAGGCAAAGTAGAGTCCACTGGGTGATGTTAGATCCTGCAGGCAGAAAGTAGAGTCCACTGGGTGATGTTAGATCCCTGCAGGCAGGCAGAAAGTAGAGTCCACTGGGTGATGTTAGATCCTGCAGGCAGAAAGATCCTAGAGTCCACTGGGTGATGTTAGATCCTGCAGGCAGAAAGTAGAGTCCACTGGGTGATGTTAGATCCCTGCAGGCAGAAAGTAGAGTCCACTGGGTGATGTTAGAGTCCACTGGGTGATGTTAGATCCTGCAGGCAGAGAGTCCACTGGGTGATGTTAGTAGAGTCCACTGGGTGATGTTAGATCCTGCAGGCAGAAATGATCCTGCAGGCAGAAAGTAGAGTCCACTGGGTGATGTTAGATCCTGCAGGCAGAAAGTAGAGTCCACTGGGTGATGTTAGATCCTGCAGGCAGAAAGTAGAGTCCACTGGGTGATGTTAGATCCTGCAGGCAGAAAGTAGAGTCCACTGGGTGATGTTAGATCCTGCAGGCAGAAAGTAGAGTCCACTGGGTGATGTTAGTAGATCCTGCAGGCAGAAAGTAGAGTCACTGGGTGATGTTAGATCCTGCAGGCAGAAAGTGGGTGGAGTCCACTGGGTGATGTTATAGCCTGCAGGCAGAAAGTAGGAGTCCACTGGGTGATGTTAGATCCTGCAGGCAGAAAGTCCACTGGGTGAAAGTAGAGTCCACTGGGTGGTGATCCTGTGGGTGATGTTAGATCCTGCAGGCAGAAAGTAGAGTCCACTGGGTGATGTTAGATCCTGCAGGCAGAAAGTAGAGTCCACTGGGTGATGTTAGATCCTGCAGGCAGAAAGTAGAGTCCACTGGGTGATGTTAGAGCCTGCAGGCAGAAAGTAGAGTCCACTGGGTGATGTTAGATCCTGCAGGCAGAAAGTAGAGTCCACTGGGTGATGTTAGATCCTGCAGGCAGAAAGTAGAGTCCACTGGGTGATGTTAGAGCCTGCAGGCAGAAAGTAGAGTCCACTGGGTGATGTTAGAGCCTGCAGGCAGAAAGTAGAGTCCACTGGGTGATGTTAGATCCTGCAGGCAGAAAGTAGAGTCCACTGGGTGATGTTATAGCCTGCAGGCAGAAGTAGAGTCCACTGGGTGATGTTAGATCCTGCAGGCAGAAAGTCCAGAGTCCACTGGGTGATGTTAGATGCAGGCAGAAAGTAGAGTCCACTGGGTGATGTTATAGCCTGCAGGCAGAAAGTAGAGTCCACTGGGTGATGTTAGATCCTGCAGGCAGAAAGTAGAGTCCACTGGGTGATGTTAGATCCTGCAGGCAGAAAGTAGAGTCCACTGGGTGATGTTAGATCCTGCAGGCAGAAAGTAGAGTCCACTGGGTGATGTTAGATCCTGCAGGCAGAAAGTAGAGACTGGGTGATGTTAGATCCTGCAGGCAGAAAGTAGAGTCCACTGGGTGATGTTAGAGCCCGCAGGCAGAAAGTAGAGTCCACTGGGCGATGCTAGAGCCTGCAGACAGAAAGAAGAGTCAACTGGTTGATGTTAGAGCCTGCAGGCAGAAAGTAGATTACATCAGCAGATGGTCGTATCACATGCAGAAAGTAGAGTCCACTGGTAAATCTTAGAGTCCATGGGTAGATCATAGACTGACTGACTGACTGAGTTTGGTTTTACGCCGCTTTTAGCAATATTCCAGCAACATCACGGCGGGGGACACCGGAAATGGGCTTCACGGTAGATCATAGAGACCCCTGGCAGAATTCCATAATATGAAAATTGGGGACACATATTTCCAAGTCTGTGGTACGTGTATGTTTGCCCTGAAGCAAAGCAACATTGTGTTCAGTGTCTGAATTGCTAGACAGGAAAGAAATGTTCATTTTGGATATGATTTCAGGATGTTTTGCTTCAGATAACTTCTTGCAATAAAAGACACACTATATTGTGTTCCTCTTAATAATTTCTTGAGTTTTGCTGACTATCTGTTTCCAATGTGTTGAAACATCCTTGACTCTCTCCACGATGTCAATGTGTATGGCAAGCCCATATACCTCACTCTGATTGGTCGACGATCCAACCAGTACGCCGGCACCAGGTTTCTCAAGAGAGGTGCCAACTCGGAGGTAACTTCCTGTCACATGACTTCTGTATACTGCCTCTCTGACCCCTCTGACCCTTAGACATTACATGCAGCTCAAAGATTAAAGTTTAACAATATCAACATCGAAACTCAAAGGAAAACCTGTTGAACTCAATGTCCACTGCCTCCATTATGCTTTGTGGTTGTCACGTGGGTCTGAAGATACTTTTGGCCTTAAAAACTTAGAGTATTTTATTATCATCCCAGATTATATCATATTTCTGTTGTTAAAACTGATGCTGTTCATCTTCAGTCTACTGATTATTTAGCATAGAAGATGGCATGTTCTGCAGTGACATATTCCATAATTTTTGTAGAAGTAAAATCAAGTGCTAACATTTAATGTGTTGTACCAAAGGGCATCTCAAGACACTTTAATTGTTTATATTCTCTGTACTCATTCTAAAACCAACTGATGTTTAGGTTTTGTGCACAGTTTGATACAAAATGTTGATACATGTTGCAACCCAGCTGGTGCAATTAATTAACATATGTATTAAATTAACTTTTAGGGTGGTGTAGCCAATGAGATTGAGACTGAGCAGATAGTCCATGATGCATCGGTGACCTTCCTAGAACATGGCAAGGTCACGTCCTTCACCCAGATGCGTGGCTCTATCCCGTTGTTCTGGTCACAGGACATAGCCAAGATGGTCCCCAAACCTCCCATCATGTGTAAGCTGTGTATTTTTCCTTATCCTGACTCATGCTTATTGCTTGTCTTCTTCTTCTTGCGAACATAGTGGAACACGTGTATCTCCCAATTGAAGTTCCCTTCAATAAAGAAATCACTAATTAGTACTCACCACGAGTTACCTCCCTTGCCCAAGCGCGGGAACGAGGGCGCCACCTCAACCCATGTGCCTCACTCTCTCCTTCTTCGCCCAGTGAGCTGGTCGTGAGAGCACCTGTGTCTCCCGACACACTATATCCTTTATTTATATTTAGTTTAGTACCTCTTATATTCATTTATAGAGGTGTTACTAGTATCCTTATTCAACTTGCATTGATTATTAGTCGTGTTTCTGCTGTTTTATTCACGGTTCGCCGTGTTTGTTCAGCAGTTTACGTTAATGATAATCTACACAGGTTGTAAACTACGTTATTCAGCTACCGATCCACATTTAAAATGCCCTAGTTGCATTACTCCATGTTCTATTGTTTCTCGTTGTAAATTATGTATTAATTTACCAATTTCTGCCTTTGATAAATATCTATGTTCCGTTTTGAGACGGAAGGCAGATAAATCTCGCAAACAATCTTCAGTCATGGCTAATAGATCGGAAGCTAATATACCCTGTCAACTGTTGACTGACGACCCGCCACCGGCTGGTGGCATGCCTGAGTTTCCCTCGGGGGATAAGCGTGGGGCCTTGATCCGCTATGTCAAGAAGCGACCTGCATCTCAAGATCTGCCGTCTTCTCAGTCTAAGACTAGCAAAGCGTCCATATCATCTCGTACGCTTCGTACACCCAGGTCTACAACTACGTCAAAAGGGAAATCTACAAAATCTAATAATTTTGCCTCTGATATTTTACCAGTCACAGAATTAGCCTTATATGATGATGACATTCCGATTATCATTCCAGATGTTCGTCACAAGAAACGTCCTGTATCTGCGACTGTCACCTCAGCGCAGATTAGCACACAACCGGAGATGCCTACGCTGTCACCAGGAATTTTGACTGAGGGTCCCGTCACCTTCGCAGAGAGACAACCCTCATCATCAGCGCAGACCGCCTCAGACGACCTGGTCAACCAAATCATGAGGCTGATGGAAGACCGTTACGGTTTACAGAGGCCCCAGAGCCACGGGCCCCAGAGCCCAACCCATATTAAGTCATACAGGGCCCCAGAGCCCGCCTTGGCTTCGCGTAGGGCCCCAGAGCCCACAGACGCGCCTCCGCGAAGGGCATCCCAGCCCGGAGCGAGCTCTTTGCATAGGAAGTCCCAGGCCACCTCCGCGAAGGAGCTAGAGCCTCACCTATTGCGAGAGGCTTCGCGGAGAAGGAGCGCTTCGCCGAGCACGCACCTTGTAATTCACAGAGGTCGTTCGCGAAGCAAGCGCTGATATGTCGATTCGGACACTGACTCGAGACATTCGCGAAGGACGCGAAGGCTAAGTGGTTCCATTTCTACCTCGCCTAGAAGAGCTTCGCGAAGCCCCCAGCGTTCGCGAAGCCCCCAGCGTTCGCGAAGCCCCCAGTGTTCGAGAAGCCCACAGCGTTTGCGAAGCCCTCACCGTTCGCGAAGCCCCCAGCCTTCGCGAAGGATGTCTTCTCCAAGGTCTCCGTACACTAGCCACTCGTCAGTCCGTTCTCCACAGTCCTCTCATAGATCTTCCTATAGATCTAGGACTCCGACATATGACCATACGTCAGAAGAGGAGGATGGTATCATTTTCTCAGATGCTGAGATAAGATATATCCCCGGCGTTCGCCGAGGAAGTCTCCTCCAAGGTCTCCATATACTAGCCACTCGTCATATATAGCCACTCGTCAGTCCGTTCAAGACATCGCATGAGTTGTCTATCAACTGTATGCCATATCCCGTCTACAAGCCTACGCGAAGACAATTGCACAGGCTATTTACAACACAGAACGTCGCTGTATTAATTTATCAACAGATGAAGAGCCTAATTAAGGATCTTCAGCCGACTACCTACATCAAGGGCATCAACGACGTTTCGTAGATCTTCACAGGAATCAACATTTCCGTATAGATTGCTAGGTATGCAATCCCGGACTACGATACGATTATCTACATGCGTGACCATTACGCAGATCTACAGACAATTCAATAACGAAATTGTACAGCAGCCTTGTTACAGCGAGTAAAACTCATAATCGTCAACAATTTCCTGAGAAGAAATATGTACAACAAGTTCAGCTTTAACAGTCTACAAGCTGACAACTTGCAAGTTTTATTGAACCTTATATAAGGAAGTCGGAATTATCTTCAAGACTGAAGTTATTTTCACGACAGCATGGAAAATAACCTACCCAGCATTAATATTACAGAGCGAGGTATTTTGCGCCGGAGGTTTCGCGAGTTTACCATTAACCCTCGAAACACGTGGTCCCTCGGGTAACTTTTCGGGAAGCTACGGTGAAGACCGACGATTGTTCTAATATCAACGACGGCACTATATTATACAAGGTTCCTTTTCCTGCTACACCGGTGACATCACAGCGCGGGTACTCTACAGAATCAAAATGCCTTGTTCTGATTGGACCGAGATGGACAACACCCTAGAGGTCGATCATAGTTCACAGTTCAAGACATAGGTTGCAAGTGACAACAATATATCAGTGAACGAGCAAGCCTCCTTACAGTCCAGCTAATCTGAACCTTTATGATTGGGCTGCCTTCTTGAGGTTAGAGACCTCCCCTGTCAAGTAATGACGAGGGCACGGCAGTCAGGCGATTTTTTACATAAAGTTCAACGATGGCAGTCACCCCTGGTTGTGCACCTACATCGTCAAGGACTTCGCAGCGAATTTAACTCGACGGGATACAAATGGATCCAAATCCATAGCGTCTCAGACTACAGTTGAATTCATCATCAAGCTACTAACACAACTAGATGGTTAGTAAACCTACTTAAGTTGGACCTAGAACCTTCGCAAGATCTGCTAATTCTAGGTTTTTGATTTGTAACGGCGCAGAATCGTATAATTGTACCGGAGGACCATGGATCAAGATCCAACAGTCATTCCACAAGCCTTACTATCTCCGCTACCACTACGACAGTGACAGAGCCTGTTGGGGTTACGCACTTCAGCTCAAGACATGACAGGCAGAGGCAGACTACTATTACATCCGTTACAAGTCATCATCAATTCGCATCTAGACGAATCTCTACCGTTCAATTTACCGGTTCAGGTCAAACCTCATCTACTATGGTGGACCAAGAGATCGAATGTTTGAATAGGCGTCTCGTTAATAGAGCTGGAATCGATAACACTTCTCTACGTAGATGTGTCACTACAAGGTTGGGGAGCCCATCTTGCCAACAGGACGGCATCAGGGCTATGAGCAATCAAGAGAGCATATTACACATAAATCTGCTAGAGATGCAAGCAGTAATAAACGCCTTAATGCACTGGAGCAACTTACTACAGTATACCCAGTGGATGATTCACACAGTCAATTCGACAGTGGCGTTTTATGTGAACAAACTAAGCTCAACCAGGTCCCCGAACCTATCGACTCTATGTTTTCAATTGTTCGATTTAATCGACAATCTCAACATACATGTCAGAGCATATCACATTCCAGGAGCAAAGAATGTGATAGCAGGAGCTCTCTCGGCCACACATACCATCGCCAACAGAATGAATGCTCCATACAGAGATATTCACTCAAATTATCAAGGAAATAGGAACTACACTAATAGACCTATTTGCCACTCGATTCAACAAACAACTGACAACATTCGTATCGCCAGTTCCAGACCCACTAGCTTTGGCAACAGAAGCACTAAGCATATCGTGGGAAGGACTCAACGCGTACGCTGTTCCGCCACCAGCGTTAATCTCACAAGTTTACTCTAAATCAGTCAAACGCAGAGCCTCCATCTGAATTTGGTCGCGGCCTACTGACCAGCGAGAACGTGGTTTCCAACTCTTATTCAAGAAATCGGACAACCAATACTACATCTTACAGAGTGCTCGAATCTGTTAATACATCCGCACACCAAACAAGCGCACGGAAAGCCAGATATATTCCAACTTCACGTATGGATTGTATCAAGGCGTGTCTGAATAACAAGTTATTCAGCCAGAGCGGCAAAGCAGTCTAGCTTGCCCTGCGTAACTCAACTTGCAACTTATACGATGACAAATGGCACAGTTTGTCAATTATGCTGCAAAGGAAGGATTTACAGCTAGATATGCTACTCATCCTCAAGTGGCTGACTACTTATGTTATCTACGTCAGACTAAGATTTTATAAGGCTCAACTTGTCCACCTATCTTGCAGCAATAGCTCTGTCATAACTGAGAACGGGCGTCAAGTTAACCTAAACCCAGTTACTCGCCTTGCTACGAGCTTTCCGATTGGAGGATTAAAACGGAAGTTTCACGCTCCAACTTGGGATCTGAATATAGTGCTCCAACACCTCACAAGTGAGGTTTATGATCACACTTTGATGATATACTTGGACCCCATGATACGATGAATCTATCACGATGGCCAGTAAGAGCACTGAAAATATATCTCCACCGATCCAAACAGGAGGGAAAAATTTCAAGAGATTTATTTCCTCTATCAACAAGCTACGCAGACTGAAGTCTCACGTACTACTATCTCCTTTTGGATCAGAACTGTCATACTATGTGCCTACAAGACTGCCGGACCCGACCCTCCAAGAGCTTCTAATCCTCATGATATTAGAGCGCTAACATCTACACTTGCTCTACACAAGTGCTATTGAAATACCGTAATGGAGGGTTATTTCTGGAGATCCGATATGGTGTTTGCCAACCACTATCTGAGAGATATCACCACCGAGGACGTCTCAGGTATCCACCAATTCGGTCCCATGGTCCTCGCACAACAGTTGACAGTTCCTCGGAGAAGATAAGTCAATCTTACAGATTTCTACTTATCTTATAACAGTACTAAATAGCTACATGCTATATATATTTTGCTTAAGTTCTTTTATTATCTTAAGCTCAGTACTATGGTTATTATATCATACAATATATAAGCTAACAACTCTCACGGAGTTTGTTATTATATATTTAGCTTAAGTTAATCATATCTTAAGCTCAGTACTATGGTTACATTATAAATGTATTAGCTAACAAACTCTACAGAGTTTTGCTATTATATATGTAGCTTAAGTTCATTATATCTTAAGCACAGTACTATACTCATATCATAAAAATATATTAGCTAACAAACTCTACGGAGTTTTTGCTATTATATATGTAGCTTAAGTTTATTCATATCTTAAGCTCAGTACTATGTTATATCATATAAGTATATTAGCTAACAAACTCTAAAGAGTTTTTTGCTATTATATATTTAGCTTAAGTTTCATCATATCTTAAAGCATTATGGTTACATTATAACATGTATTAGCTAACAAACTCTACGGAGTTTTTGCTATTATATATGTAGCTTAAGTTTATTCATATCTTAAGCTCAGTACTATGTTTATATCATATAAGTATATTAGCTAACAAACTCTAAAGAGTTTTTTGCTATTATATATTTAGCTTAAGTTTCATCATATCTTAAGCATTATGGTTACATTATAAAATGTAATAGCTAACAAACTCTACGGAGTTTTTGGCTATGTAGGTAGCTTAAGTTAATTATATCTTAAGCACAGTACTATACTCATATCATAAAATATATTAGCTAACAAACTCTACGAAGTTTTGCTATTATATATATAGCTTAAGTTTTATTCATATCTTAAGCTTAGTACTATGTTTACTTCATAAAAGTATATTAGCTAATAAACTCTAAGGAGTTTTTGCTATTATATATTTAGCTTAAGTTTAATCATATCTTAAGCTCAGTACTATGTTTATATCATAAAAGTATTTTAGCTAACAAACTCTAAGGAGTTTATGCTATCATATTAACAAGCTTAAGTCTATTAGTCTTAAGCATTGTATTAATGTTATATATACTTTTATCATAATAAGTAAATTGTAATAACCTTTATATGGCAGCTGATAAGTTAGCAGCAGGAATTCATCAGTTCAGTGCCTTTATGAAGTTCCCATAGGGTTATTACAATCATCACAGTTCAAATCACTAATTATTAAAATCCAAAGTATTATATATTCCCACCTCCTTTTCCGTCAGTTCTACAAGCAATAAGCATGAGTCAGGATAAGGAAAAATATGTAATTTTAGAGTAAAATTGATATTTTATACTTATCCTGACTCATGAGGTAAGCTCCCTCCCATCCTCCCCACATAACACTTTGGATTTCCCTGGAAATTCAAGTGTTGGGCTCAGTATATGAGGGAGAGTGAGGCACATGGGTTGAGGTGGCCCTCGTTCAGCTTGGGCAGGGAGGTAACTTCGTGGTGAGTACTAATTAGTGATTTCTTTATTGAAGGGAACTTCAATTGGGAGATACACGTGTTCCACTATGTTCGCAAGAAGAAGAAGACAAGCAATAAGCATGAGTCAGGATAAGTATAAAATATCAATTTTACTCTAAAAATTACATAATTCTAACACCAGTCTTTTTCTTGACAAATATCGCTGATTCGGCAATATTCAAAGTTAAACATCGATGTATCGTTGCCCATTTGAAATATCGTATCGGGATATATGACAATGTAAAACTATGTATCGATTCACTGTATCGGCGGCCCATGGATTGATGTATCGATGCGTATCGATGAATCATCACACCACTAGAAGTCAAACAGTGGAACATTCTTACATTTGATTGTGCTAAATTTAGAAGTGCTATTTGACAAAATTGATCTTGTTTGGGTGTTGGTTTTTGTGTTGGTATCAATCAAGTGTTAATGTACTACTTGTGTGATTATTCCTCTAGTGGACAAGCGAGACCCCTTCGCCCATGCAGCTGGCCTTCACTTCAACCAGGTGCTCCAGAGAAGTGGGGCGCCTATCATTGTCCTCAATCTAGTCAAGGTAAGTGTGCTCTATATTGAACATTGTGATAGATAGCTTGCTTTCATAAATACAGTTTCATGGGACCATGTATGCAATGGAACTAATGTTTCCTTTGTTTTCCTGTTATATTTAGACCAGAGAGAAGAAAAGGCATGAGTCGATCCTGAGTGAAGAATTCATAGACACAATAAACTACCTGAACCAGTTCCTGCCGCCCGACCACACCATCCAGTACATCGGCTTTGACATGGCCAGGGTCAACAAGAGGTATGTGCTTCTCTAAACTATAACTTTGACATGGCCAGGGTCAACAAGAGGTATGTGCTTCTCTAAACTATAACTTTGACATGGCCAGGGTCAACAAGAGGTATGTGCTTCTCTAAACTATAGCTTCCTGTGTACCAAATATAGTGGAAAATAGCAGCGGAAAGGTAGGATATGTGCTGGACTGTGGAGATGAATGGTTGTTCAACATGGTTGTTAATGTGTCATGGTATTCGATTGTAACATCAACCACTGGCTTTTCTGGCTGAGACATGGTTGTTAATGTGTCATGGTATTCGATTGTAACATCAACCACTGGCTTGTCTGGCTGAGACACGGTTGTTAATGTGTCATGGTATTCGATTGTAACATCAACCACTGATTTTTCTGGCTGAGACACGGTTGTTAATGTGTCATGGTATTCAATTGTAACATCAACCACTGGCTTGTCTGGCTGAGACACGGTTGTTGATGTGTCATGGTATTCGATTGTAACATCAACCACTGGCTTGTCTGGCTGAGACACGGTTGTTAATGTGTCATGGTATTCGATTGTAGCATCAACCACTGATTTTTCTGGCTGAGACACGGTTGTTGATGTGTCATGGTATTCGATTGTAACATCAACCACTGATTTTTCTGGCTGAGACACGGTTGTTGATGTGTCATGGTATTCGATTGTAGCATCAACCACTGGCTTGTCTGGCTGAGACACAGTTGTCAGTGTGTCATGGTATCCATGTAACATCAACCACTGGCTTGTCTGGCTGAGACACGGTTGTTAATGTGCCATGGTATTCGATTGTAGCATCAACCACTGGCTTGTCTGGCTGAGACACGGTTGTTAATGTGTCATGGTATTCGATTGTAACATCAACCACTGGCTTGTCTGTCTGAGACATGGTTGTTAATGTGTCATGGTATTCGATTGTAACATCAACCACTGGCTTGTCTGGCTTGTCTGGCTGAGACACGGTTGTTAATGTGTCATGGTATTCGATTGTAACATCAACCACTGGCTTGTCTGGCTGAGACACGGTTGTTAATGTGTCATAGTATTCGATTGTAACATCAACCACTGGCTTGTCTGGCTGAGACACGGTTGTTGATGTGTCATGGTATTCGATTGTAACATCAACCACTGGCTTGTCTTGCTGAGACACACGGTTGTTAATGTGTCATGGTATTCGATTGTAGCATCAACCACTGGCTTGTCTGGCTGAGACACGGTTGTTAATGTGTCATGGTCTTCGATTGTAACATCAACCACTGGCTTGTCTGGCTGTGACACGGTTGTTAATGTGTCATGGTATTCGATTGTAACATCAACCACTGGCTTGTCTGGCTTGTCTGGCTGAGACACGGTTGTTAATGTGTCATGGTATTCGATTGTAACATCAACCACTGGCTTGTCTGGCTGAGACACGGTTGTTAATGTGTCATGGTATTCGATTGTAACATCAACCACTGGCTTGTCTGGCTGAGACACGGTTGTTGATGTGTCATGGTATTCGATTGTAACATCAACCACTGGCTTGTCTGGCTGAGACACGGTTGTTGATGTGTCATGGTATTCGATTGTAACATCAACCACTGGCTTGTCGGGCTGAGACACCGTTGTTAATGTGTCATGGTATTCGATTGTAACATCAACCACTGGCTTGTCTGGGCTGAGACACGGTTGTTAATGTGTCATGGTATTCGATTGTAGCATCAACCACTGGCTTGTCTGGCTGTGACACGGTTGTTAATGTGTCATGGTATTCGATTGTAACATCAACCACTGGCTTGTCTGGCTGAGACACAGTTGTTAATGTGTCATGGTATTCGATTGTAACATCAACCACTGGCTTGTCTGGTTGAGACACGGTTGTTAATGTGTCATAGTATTCGATTGTAACATCAACCACTGGCTTGTCTGGCTGAGACACGGTTGCTAATGTGTCATGGTATTCGATTGTAACATCAACCACTGGCTTGTCTGGCTGAGACACGGTTGTTGATGTGTCATGGTATTCGATTGTAACATCAACCACTGGCTTGTCTGGCTGGACACGGTTGTTAATGTGTCATGGTATTCGATTGTAGCATCAACCACTGGCTTGTCTGGCTGTGACACGGTTGTTAATGTGTCATGGTATTCGATTGTAACATCAACCACTGGCTTGTCTGGCTGAGACACAGTTGTTAATGTGTCATGGTATTCGATTGTAACATCAACCACTGGCTTGTCTGTCTGAGACATGGTTGTTAATGTGTCATGGTATTCGATTGTAACATCAACCACTGGCTTGTCTGGCTTGTCTGGCTGAGACACGGTTGTTAATGTGTCATGGTATTCGATTGTAACATCAACCACTGGCTTGTCTGGCTGAGACACGGTTGTTAATGTGTCATAGTATTCGATTGTAACATCAACCACTGGCTTGTCTGGCTGAGACACGGTTGTTGATGTGTCATGGTATTCGATTGTAACATCAACCACTGGCTTGTCTTGGCTGAGACACGGTTGTTAATGTGTCATGGTATTCGATTGTAACATCAACCACTGGCTTGTCTGGCTGAGACACGGTTGTTAATGTGTCATGGTCTTCGATTGTAACATCAACCACTGGCTTGTCTGGCTGAGACACGGTTGTTAATGTGTCATGGTATTCGATTGTAACATCAACCACTGGCTTGTCTGGCTTGTCTTCATTGAGACACGGTTGTTAATGTGTCATGGTATTCGATTGGTAACATCAACCACTGGCTTGTCTCATTGAGACACGGTTGTTAATGTGTCATGGTATTCGATTGTAACATCAACCACTGGCTTGTCTGGCTGAGACACGGTTGTTGATGTGTCATGGTATTCGATTGTAACATCAACCACTGGCTTGTCTGGCTGAGACACGGTTGTTGATGTGTCATGGTATTCGATTGTAACATCAACCACTGGCACCGTTTGTCTGGGATTGTAACATCAACCACTGGCTTGTCTGGCTGAGCGGTTGTTAATGTGTCATGGTATTCGATTGTAACATCAACCACTGGCTTGTCTGGCTGTGACACGGGTTGTTAATGTGTCATGGTATTCGATTGTAACATCAACCACTGGCTTGTCTGGCTGAGACACACGTTGTTAATGTGTCATGGTATTCGATTGTAACATCAACCACTGGCTTGTCTGGTTGAGACACGGTTGTTAATGTGTCATAGTATTCGATTGTAACATCAACCACTGGCTTGTCTGGCTGAGACACGGTTGCTAATGTGTCATGGTATTCGATTGTAACATCAACCACTGGCTTTGTCTTCATTGAGACACGGTTGTTGATGTGTCATGGTATTCGATTGTAACATCAACCACTGGTTTGTCTGGCTGAGACACGGTTGTTAATGTGTCATGGTATTCGATTGTAGCATCAACCACTGGCTTGTCTGGCTGTGACACGGTTGTTAATGTGTCATGGTATTCGATTGTAACATCAACCACTGGCTTGTCTGGCTGAGACACAGTTGTTAATGTGTCATGGTATTCGATTGTAACATCAACCACTGGCTTGTCTGGTTGAGACACGGTTGTTAATGTGTCATGGTATTCGATTGTAACATCAACCACTGGCTTGTCTGGCTGGAGACACGGTTGTTAATGTGTCATGGTATTCGATTGTAACATCAACCACTGGCTTGTCTGGCTGAGACACGGTTGTTGATGTGTCATGGTATTCGATTGTAACATCAACCACTGGCTTGTCTTGCTGAGACACGGTTGTTAATGTGTCATGGTATTCGATTGTAGCATCAACCACTGGCTTGTCTGGCTGAGACGGTTGTTAATGTGTCATGGTATTCGATTGTAACATCAACCACTGGCTTGTCTGGCTGTGACACGGTTGTTAATGTGTCATGGTATTCGATTGTAACATCAACCACTGGCTTGTCTGGCTGAGACACGGTTGTTAATGTGTCATGGTATTCGATTGTAACATCAACCACTGGCTTGTCTGGCTGAGACACGGTTGTTAATGTGTCATGGTATTCGATTGTAACATCAACCACTGGCTTGTCTGGCTGAGACCACGGTTGTTGATGTGTCATGGTATTCGATTGTAACATCAACCACTGGCTTGTCTGGCTGAGACACGGTTGTTGATGTGTCATGGTATTCGATTGTAACATCAACCACTGGCTTGTCTGGCTGAGACACGTTGTTAATGTGTCATGGTATTCGATTGTAACATCAACCACTGGCTTTGTCTGGCTGAGACACGGTTGTTAATGTGTCATGGTATTCGATTGTAGCATCAACCACTGGCTTTGTCTGGCTGTGACACGGTTGTTAATGTGTCATGGTATTCGATTGTAACATCAACCACTGGCTTGTCTGGCTGAGACACGGTTGTTAATGTGTCATGGTATTCGATTGTAACATCAACCACTGGCTTGTCTGGTTGAGACACGGTTGTTAATGTGTCATAGTATTCGATTGTAACATCAACCACTGGCTTGTCTGGCTGAGACACGGTTGCTAATGTGTCATGGTATTCGATTGTAACATCAACCACTGGCTTGTCTGGCTGAGACACGGTTGTTGATGTGTCATGGTATTCGATTGTAACATCAACCACTGGCTTGTCTGGCTGAGACACGGTTGTTAATGTGTCATGGTATTCGATTGTAGCATCAACCACTGGCTTGTCTGGCTGTGACACGGTTGTTAATGTGTCATGGTATTCGATTGTAACATCAACCACTGGCTTGTCTGGCTGAGACACGGTTGTTAATGTGTCATGGTATTCGATTGTAACATCAACCACTGGCTTGTCTGGTTGAGACACGGTTGTTAATGTGTCATAGTATTCGATTGTAACATCAACCACTGGCTTGTCTGGCTGAGACACGGTTGCTAATGTGTCATGGTATTCGATTGTAACATCAACCACTGGCTTGTCTGGCTGAGACCACGGTTGTTGATGTGTCATGGTATTCGATTGTAACATCAACCACTGGCTTGTCTG